GCAAAAGATGTGGGGGCAGCAACTAAAGTGGTTGTACGATCATGGGAAGACTGTGCTCACATTCTTTTTTGCTTTATGTTAAAGAATCAACCAGTTTAATAGTACATGCTAACACAGGCTACTTCACATGGCTGTCATCTCCTAAAATAAGTCAGAGAAACTGCACACATTCTTAAAGATTAAAAACACTTCACTATATCAGTATAGCGTATCTAACTTTTTTGAATTTCCTTTTAATTACAAACTTCAGATGAACAATCTACATGTAGAAAACATTGTTTCATAATTGGAATAAAAAGATTGACACTTTTTTTTGTTATGGAAAGCAATATAAATCCATACCCCCCAAGAACTGTGTGATCGTCTATTTATCCTCAGTTTGGCAATGGGTGGAAGCAGTCCAACTTTAAAGTTCTGTTTCAGTTTTGGGCATGTTATGACCAGTTGTGTAATAGGATTTTCTTCAGGCCATTTGTGCCAGACATGAGAATTAAACATCTACAAGCCTGACTGTTTCCCTGAGATCTCGATGTGCATGCCCATGTGTGTGTCCCCACTGCTCCACCCAGGCTTGCAAAAAGCTCTCTGTAGTATTGGGCATCACTGGTTGGAAGGAGGCAAGTCTGAAAGCAAATCTGTAGGAAAATTAATGCATCTGATATTACATGAACTTTTCTGTGGTTCTTCTCTGGCTAAGAACCCCATTCTAAGGGGGTGATAAGGAAGGTGAAGTTAGGGGAAGGATCAGGGACTGGAGAGCTGGAATGAAAGCAGATGGTCTATGCATGGGATGACCCTGTGCCTTAGGTGGAATCGCAGGATCTGAAGGAATAAAATCCTGTTCATTTTTCAAGTTAGGAGAAGGCCTTCCCCCTTGAACAGTTTGGAAAAATTCCCTGAGGGGAACCTTGCTGAGTCTTCCTTTCCTTGGGGAGCTTCAAAGGGGTTTACACAGGAGGAGGCTGTTTGGCCCTATTTTAAAAAACAATTTTCAGTTTCATACAAAAATATATTTCTTCTCAGTCATAAAAAATGAAAGGCAGATAAAAAAAGTTGGTTATTCACATATATTAAATATGAATGTAAATCAAATGTACATATGATTTAACAATGTCTGTCATAATCTAAAAAGAAAAGGAGTACTTGTGGCACCTTAGAGACTAACCAATTTATTTGAGCATGAGCTTTCGTGAGCTACAGCTCACTTCATCGGATGCATACCGTGGAAACTGCAGCAGACTTTATATACACGCAGAGAATATGAAACAATACCTCCTCCCACCCCACTGTCCTGCTGGTAATAGCACTGTCCTGGTAATAGCAGGACAGTGGGGTGGGAGGAGGTATTGTTTCATATTCTCTGCGTGTATATAAAGTCTGCTGCAGTTTCCACGGTATGCATCCGATGAAGTGAGCTGTAGCTCACGAAAGCTCATGCTCAAATAAATTGGTTAGTCTCTAAGGTGCCACAAGTACTCCTTTTCTTTTTGCGAATACAGACTAACACGGCTGTTACTCTGAAACCTGTCATAATCTAGTTAGAATTAATTTTCCAGTTGATATCAAGTGTCCCTGTGCTGACATTTAAAAAAAAAAAAATCCAAAACCCGCAACATTTTAAAGTCTTGCAGCTGACAGTTTCCGAAGAGAGAGATTTCTCTCTAGAATGCCTACCTGAGGTTTTTTTTTGGGGTGGGGAGAAAGAGGATTACAGCCTCAATATTTTCAATATTGTAATAAGCTCTGATTCTGCAAATGACTGTGTGTAGGTGCTTCGGTCCACATGTGTACAGTCAGCTGCAGGGTTGGGGTCTTAAATTAGTACTAATAATCTTCTCTTTGTCTGAATACCGGGATTTAGGTCTAGGGAAAAACACAATGACTTTTTAAGACACTTTCTTGCATATCTAACTCCACATAAGATTCTGTCCTTATCCCTGCTTTAAAAATAGTAGCTTTTGTAGTTGATAGGTTGGGGTTCTTTGGTATTTCTCTTATTGCAGTGGACTGTGGTTTTTCAATAAAGATTCTATCATCTGTAGTACTCCCTGTACTGTACTGCATCTATATCCGGCACATCTATGCAAGCTGCAAGCCTGAGAGTGAGATGGGGTGTGGCGCCAATGTCCCTCCCCTACCTCCTCTCCATTCTCTCTCCATCCACCTGTGAGAAGAAAGAGGGTGTGGCATGGCAGCTCAGTAACCTGTTCCCTGACTGACATGCTATCTGTCATGTTCGTAACTAGTTGAGGGCCATAGGTTTTTAATATTTCCATGTGACAGCGAGGTAGAGAGATCTGTTTAAAAATTTAGCCCCAAAAGTCATTTTTCTGGTCATTTATCTTTTTGTGGCTTCTGCACTGAAGGGTCTAATTTCAGTACTGTTGTCTGTACGGTTTCCAGTTGCACTATTCTGAAGTTGATGGAATCCATTTTCCCCATCCATAATGGCTATTGCCGCACACACGTTTTGGAAACAGGCATTACATTTTGGCAGGTTTTCTTTGATTTAGTCTGCTTTTCAGTGGGAGCAGAAACAGTAATTGCTTCACAGTAAGATGGTAGATCCTTCATCTCAGCAGTGGGCAATTTCACATGAAATCTTAATAGCTGGCTTTCTTCGTAATGTTTGGCATTGTAGGATTGGCTGAAGTGTTAAATATTGTCTTAAAAATAAATAAGTTATTGGTAAGATTTAACTCTAAGTTTGCTAGATACCACTTGCTGAGGGAGCCAAGTAGAAGTGTATCTCCCTGTTGTGATTTGGCTCTGTGCCTCCAATACAGTATTTTTAAACTCCATCCATATGCAGCCATACAGTACTTTCAGTTCATTCATGATAATAGCAAGCAGATATTGTATTCCTCTGGTTCTTTAGAGAAATTGCGCTTGTCTGTAAAATATTGATGAATTATCCTTAATGTTTTTTGATACCTCTGTCAGAATTTAGAGTCTAGTAGATCACAGAGGGGTGAGAAACTTGTTTTGTGTGACCATATATAAAATGCATTAAAACAAGACAGAACCCATCTCATTCTCCTCCTACTTTTTGTGCATCTTTCCCTAACTACAACCAAAAATACAATACCTTAGGTACTTCTCTCCGTCCTGATTCCCTCCTCCTTTCAAAACTGGACACACCTTCTGATTGTGTTTCCCGATTTTTCTAAATTTTGGATCCATTGCCGACCCTCCAGGTTCTTTCTGATCCCAGTATGCTGATGCTCACTACCATCCTGAATTTGTCAGGTCTTCCTTCTGGCAAAAGAATGCTGAATTCTTCTTCCCTCTTTGTATTGGTTTGAGTTTCACCAAACAGTTGCCACAGGAGTTTTTCATCACTTCCCCTACACACCAGTGTGATTTTCCCCCCCCAGCTCTGGTGGCTCAGGGAGGTAGGGATTACAGATGAATCCTTATGTGTCAGTGCAATATACTTACAGTAGACAGTGGTGCTGTCACACAGGTGCTGTTATTAATTCACAAGTTCAGGTATGCAAAATATATCTTTCTGTAGTTTTACTTAACACGCTCTTTTAAAGGGGCACCATAATATAAAAAAAATCCACTGTTGCATCTGAAAACTTTTTAGCAACTGTTGTGCAAGTAACTCCTAAGATTATTGTCATTTACTAAGTGCCATTACTGACTGTTAAAAAGTAGAGGAGATATTTTTCTAGGTTTTTTTTCCCTGTTTACTCTGTGAGTTTGAAAGTACTTTGAGTCTGATCCAAAGCCTTGAAGTCACTGGAAAGACTCATTGAATTCAAGACGCTCATTGAGATCAATGGAGTTTATGCTCTTTGAGTGTAGTCATTTTCACTGTTTCCCCTGTATAGTCAATCACTTCCCTCTCTTGCCTGCATGGGTCTTGAATACAGTTGGAGGGGAGTGTTAGACACTTTTTTTTAAAATTAATAAGTAGGAAAATGTGATTTAAAATAACAAAATTTGCCAGAAGGACTCAGATATTCAGATACAGTACCTGAAATTACTTTAATATATATTTTTTTAAAAACCCTCACTAAATCTCAGATTGGTGGGGTCCCTTTTAAATGCCTCTTGAAAAAGAAAGATTTACTAAGCCAAAATGTGGCCTGGCTAGCCTGGCACTGGAGGGGTTTAAGAGGATGCAAGTTGCCTCCTTATGGCCCCTCACTAGTTACCCACATGACAGATAGCATCTCAGTCAGGGAACAGGTTACAGAGCTGCCATGCCACACACCCTTTCTTTTCACAGGTGGATGGAAGGAGAGAGAATCGAGTGGAGGAGGGGGAGGGACATTGGCTCAACACCCCATCTCTCTCTCAAGCATGTCAGCTTGCATAGATGTGCAGGATATAGATGCAGTACAGTTTAATTTCTTCCTTGAGCTGCAGAGGACCTGGGAGAGAGACTTATGTCTCGAGTCCCAGACTCTCTCCTGGGTTGCTCTTGAGACAATGCAACAATACACTGCCACTTACTCTGGAATTGTTGTAAAGTCACAGTTGAGCACTAAGTCATTTAGATCTTCCTTGGGAAAGTTGTTTTGGAGAAGGAGGCTACCTTTTAAAATATAAAACTCTAAACGTAATTCTTTTATTTACAATCCTTAAAGAGCATTGTGATTTTAATTTCAGAATTATGTTGAGCCTTTCTTTATTGGCAAGTAAATCCAAATGCGCAGCTCTATAGCTGATGATTTTACACTGTAGCTCCTAAACCACTTGCAATTATAAGTTCTGTACAAATTATAGACAATATAAATGTAGTAAACATCGCTAGACTAATTACAATGAAATAAAACAGCTGTTGGTGTCTAGAAACAATTTTCTTCTGATGAATGTGCAGCTTTTGTCAAAAATAAATTCTGTGATAGGTGAATATTTGATGCTTCAAACTGAATGTCCTTCCAAAGTCTGATTTTTGCATATTTGCTATCATTTTAAAAAATAGTTATATACAAAATAATTATGGCTAATTTCTTGCTTTTTTCATTTAATGTCATTGTATTCAGGCTGCTGAAATCAAAGACACTTCTCAAAGATGTAAACAAAAACAAGATGCAGTGGAGAAGAAAGACAAACAAGTAAGAGAACCTTAATGTGTGTGGGGTTTTTTTATGCTTGTTTGTTGGTGCTGTGGAGCACTGATGTAATACTAAATGCATCACATGAAGTGTTCAGGGTAATATTGTGGAATTGTCGTGGCTGAGTCACTGTTTGGATTCCATCAGTGACACCCATATTTCAGCTGCTCATGATGGAAAGTTGAACTGGAGATGAAATGTAGTATTGCAAGCTGTCTGCAACCTCCACTCCTCCAGGGACCCACGGCTGGTTGGTACAGCCCGCTCCAAAGTGTATAGAGGCAAATTTGGAGGCAACAGGAACAAAGTACCCAGGAGATGCAATGAATCACTGTATCTCCCAGCACCCTCTGCACTCAGACTTGCTGAGTTCCTTAAAGTTGCTATCCTCGAGGAAAATGAAGTTTATCAGTAGAACAGAGCACTATCATGGAACAACTGTCTTCTCCAGTTAGATGTAATGTTCTTTTATAAGGAATTTACTTTTTGTATACAATATGATATTACAAGTTTTTGCTATTGTTGAATACTTTTGCTACATTAGAATGTTTTCTAGTGCTCCCTTACTCTTATCCACTGTACCTTGGTGCCTTAAGTCTAACCAGATGAAGAAACAGAATAGTTGCTTGTGTTAACTAATCAGAGGGCTTCTTTATGTACACAATTTATAAAAAATTAAATGCAAAAAGCTGTTAATGCCACATTAAGGCTCCATAGCTAAGCACTCAGTCAATAAATATGAAAATTAAACATAAGGGGGAGAGTTCAACTTGCATAGTCCTTTTTGTTACGTTGAACTTATTCAATCCTGTACTAATTCTCAAACTATCCAGTAGCATGCAACTTTTACTATAATTTTAGATTATTACAGATTCTTAGATATATGTTTATGTGTTTAAAGATTGGGATTGTAACACATTCGTTCTTTAAAATTCTGGCACAGATTCTAGTCATTTTACAAAAAGGCATCAATTTGAGTTGTTCGGTGGGTTTCTGAGCAAGGATGAGATCTTATATTTTTAAACCTGCTTGACTACATCAACATTTCAATATCTGTTACAACAGTCTTTTGTAATTGTCTGCCTTTTGTTGTATATGCAAAAATTTCATTTGTAAATGCCATTCTGGGAAAATATTTGCATTTCTCTTAGATTGAAGAAATTCAGCAAGTTTTGAGAATGAAAAGAGATGAAGAAATGGATCGACAGAAGAGAATACACAACGCTCGTAAGATGATAGAGGACTGGCAGAATGAGCTCAACAGTACAGGAAACTCTGAGAATCTTCAACCACAAATTGATTCTATTAACAATGAGCTGAGACAGTTGCAAGAAGAAAAGGCAAATATTGATGGTGAAATGAGTGATCTGCGAAGAGAGAGAGAGAACCTAGAGAGGGAAAAGAAAAGTGAGATTGCTTGATTCTTTCCCTACTATGGTTACTACATGCAATTCTTTTGTGTTTAAGTGACCTAACTGAGATTAAATTGCTTCAAACCTCAGTAACTGTATTTTTGTACATCTCTGTATTGCTTTCATCCTTTCAAGGCCTGTAAAAGTGACAGGGATAGCTTGTTGTTAAGGGGATACCATCAACTTGAAAACTAGTCTTTCAAAAAATGATTGCATGTAGTTTCAGTAAACCGGCTCCTCACAGATGCTGCCAGTTCGTATGTTGTTCCAATTGAATTTTTCTGTTTAAATTATTTTTTCTCTTACTTTGTGGAAACCCCATACAAACAAAAGGAAAACTGATAGGCTGTACAGGAGAAATGCTGAAACTGACTTTTCAGTCTTGTCAAATGCATAAAGTAAACAAAATACAGAAGGGTTTTTCTTTACTACAGTAATTTTTAGATGTTACTTGTAACTTTAAAAAAAACTTCAGACAGAAATGGTCATTTTATTAAATTGATGGTATTCATTTAAACTAGAAGAATTAAATGTGGCATGGTGCCAAGATGCTATGTGTAGAGTGGCACTATCTTAGTGACTGTTTCTCCTTCTGCCTTTGTTAGATGAACTTGGAGACCAGTCTTTTTTATCCTTAATGAATTACACTGCACTTTTTTATATCAGCCTGGCCTTTTGTGTGTGTTCTGTCTTGATGTAACTTGAGAGCTAGAATTAAAATTTATCTTTTTAGAGCTCTTTTTGATTAACTTGCTTCCACACTTTTTTTTGGTCTGTATGGCCCCAACACTGTAGTATCTGAACACCTCCCATGTACTGCAAGGGTAAATCCATAAATACCCCAATGGAGAAATGAGGCACAGAGAGACTGATTGTCCTGCTTAGTGAGATATAGAAAAACAGGAAATTGAACCCTGTCTCCTGAATCCCAGTCCAGTGTCTTAAGTACAAGACTATTCTCCTTCCCCACTGTTGGAGTAATGTAGATTGGAAACATTCTGTTCCCGAAAGATTTTGTAGTATTTTTTTCTTAGTATCATGTGGGAACCTCAAGGTCCCTCCCAAAAGGGGATGACATGAAGAATGCTACTTTGGTGTGTCTTCAGAGGGAGAATGAGTTCTCCCTTTCTCTTGGGTGGCAAGAACCCTCCCGCACCATTCTTGCATTACAGCAACATTCTTCTGTTGTCACCAAATAAATAACAAATAGAAAAATACTCTGAAATAGAAATTTCTTATCCCCCCAATGCCCCACAAGTATAAAATTTCCTCCTCCCTTTTTCGAGTAGTGGTGGAGAAGGTTTTTGGTTTTTTTTTGTTTTTTTTTTAAAGATAGTGGCAGTCCAGAATTTTTGGCTATATTATTTGGCAATTGTTGACTTGAATATCTCTGCACCTAGAATAGGCCCATTGCAAAAATTAGTTTGAATATTAATATTTATACCTGGACATTGTACTTCAAAACAGAGATTAACATTTCTGTTTATTTCACATAGTTCTTGGATTTAAAATTTTAATGGAGTACATCCTTTAGAATAGATGGGATACTGTTCATAAATGTATGAAAATAAGAAACGGTCTTTCCTAACCATAATACTGTAGCACTATAGTTATTAAATATTAGAAATCTTTAGTTGTGATGTGTAGGCATGATTTAATATAACTTTCTTAAACAAAATTACAGGAGTAACTGATCGCATTGTACAGTTTAACAATATGATGAATCTGAAGGAAGATAAGCTCAGAGGGAGATATCGAGACACATACAATGCTCTTCTGTGGCTAAGGGAGAACAAAGACCGATTTAAAAGAAGTGTCTGTGAACCCATGATGCTTGCAGTAAGAAAATTCGCTTGAGTACAATACTAATTAGTGGCTAATAGTGTGTCTTAAAAAAATTAAATTCTAGATTGGTTGTTATTTCTATTATAAACCTAAAATCTGGAGGCTCCCTACCTTATCTACTGTTTTACAATGAGTTAGCAAACTGGAGTACATGTAAATCAGTGTCTACAGCTGGTTAAGATGTGTAATTTATCTCATTCAAGTAATGTGACAAGTGTGAAAGTTTTACTAGACTCCTTTGTACCTTCGGTATGTTGTTACATGGATGAACACAGAGTGCTTTCAGCCATCCAACATATAGGTTTCCAATGGAACTGCCCTACTTCAAGGTGGCCTCTACACATTCCAACTGGTGAGATGCATCCCTCTTGTATTCCTCTGAAATTTGGGAATCTTCTAAGAAAGTGGTGGTTGGGATTACATGCGAGCCTTCTCATAGTTCTGAATATTCAGAGCAGAAGTTGTAAGAGGACTTTTGCTCCCCCACCTGCTTCAGTTACTTCTTTTCCACATCTAGTGGCAGGCATAGAGGCGTTCAGTCTGTGCTCAGTCCTGGTTTGTTTCTTGGCCATACTTTCCTATTATTACCAGTAGTTGTCAGTAATGTTCATTTTATATAGTTTAAGGTACTCAGGAGTCAGTAACTAAGTTTAACTAATCCTTCTAAACTTGCTGCTTCATGCTGGTTTTGGAAATGCCAGAAATGGTTTTGTATTATCAGAATCAAATATTATTTTTGCCCTTTCCAGATCATTCGGTCCTGCTGGATATAGCATTGTCAGGTCAAGTTAATCAAAAACATATCTTGATCTAAGGGCCGTTACCTTTCTCCTTCAAGGCTAGTTAATCTTCACAATGTCCATGAACATCTGAATCTTTTTTCCCTAATCTGTACTGTACAATATAACCCTGTTTCTTTGAGGGTTTTAGGAACATCTGAAACTTTTAGATGAATTAAAACTGGCTCACCTGTTCTGAAATTCTGGTGGAATCAATCCAACTCTGGTCAACTGCCACTCTATTTAATAGAGTTGTATAGTCGTGTGTGTTCATTTTCTCAAACATATCTTGATCCTTTTACAGCTAATATAATTTTAGTGTATTGATATGTTCCTAGTGTTACCATATTTTATCAGGGTACAAAAACCTTCCTTCATCTTAAACAATGGATTTGTTTTGTCTGAGAATTCTTTTGAGAAAACCAGATTAATTTGTAGTAATTCCAAATCCTCTGTCTCCTCACAGGGCCTTGGGTTTCTATATTTATGTTTGGATGTGCTCACTGGCTACTAGTGAAATCAATGAGAACTGCATGTGAATATCCTAAAGATGAATCTGGAGTTTTCTGATATTTCCACCTTTCCTTAGGGCAAAGTATTGCCATTGTTTTACTAAATATTGGCTTGGATATTAGCTGTCTTAAGTTATTTATTGTTTTTAATGTGTTTTATTTTTATAATTATATTACATCACTCTTTTCATGATCCTCCTTTGTCTTTTTATCTGAGCAGATAAACATGAAAGACAATAGACATGCTAAATATGTTGAAAATCACATTTCAGCAAATGATATGAGGGCCTTTGTTTTTGAAAGTCAAGAAGACATGGAAATATTTCTTCGGGAGGCAAGTACTCAGTCATATAACATGTGACATAACGTGTAAAAAATGTCGCTTAAAATAAATAATATTGATGCAGGAACCCTCCAGTGTAGAGCCTACTTATTATGATCACTAAGTAATTTATGCACTATGTAATAATACATTTGCTAGGTAAGATCAATTTTTTTGTAAACTGTACTGAGACCACAGATATACAGACTCCCACCTGATTTTTCTCTTGCATAATTTAAATAAGAGCAAGATTTTTCAAAATCCAGAGAGGAGGATTTTTTGCTCTTGCATCCCTGTGCATCTGACTCATACCTGGCTCAGCTATTTGGGTGGGACAGTGGGCTCTGAATTTGACTGTCAGTGACTGCTGCTGATTTGACTAATGTATTTTCTGAAAAGCTTTTCCTGCATGGTGGTAGTTAGATAGTATATGGAGAACTCAGCTGGTTGGGGCACCACAGTTGTGGGCTTTTGTGGATACTTGCATATGTTTTAGTGGTTTGTGTTCCTTTCATGTTTGTCTTGAGACTCCTTTTTTACTGGATATTTCGGCTTGTCTAGTAAATTGAAATTGAAAATGTATATATTTAAGGAATTGGTAAAAAGATCAGTTAAACATCTGGAGGGGTTAGTTCACATCTATATTACATATTTACCAGATGCTGATGCAGAAAGGATCTTCTTTCTACAGTAACTCATTTCTGTTCAGGATTTTGAAGATCACCAAGGCAACATTGCTAAGGAGATTGATCATTAATGGGGGAAAAAAACATAGGGAGGACTTCTTTCTTCTCTTCGTTTACCGGCTAACTGACCACAGTTTTCTGCTAACTGAATGTAGAGAAAAGGAAAAAGCCTTAATGGATGTAAATAGCTTTGGTTATCATGTGGGAATCAGAATAATTTCAAATGCATGGTTGGGAGATTAAATCAATTTAAAGGAAATGTTTGCTTCTATGAAATACATCTTTTTCATACATTAGTATCATTTTAACTTACTATCTTGTTTGGTGTAACATTTAGGTGCGTGACCATCAGAAATTAAAAGTTAATACTGTATGTGCACCCGCTGAGTCATGTGCTGAAAATAGACCTTCAAGATCAGTTGAAGAGTTGCAGTAAGCAATAAAATACTTAACCTTAAAACTATTGTCAACATTGAATGTTTTGGTCTCAGTGCAAAATGATGTAGCTGTGCATGATGCTCTTTTTTTTTTTTTTTTTGGCAAATCAAACTCTTACCTTAAGATCTAATATTTTTTTTTCTTTCTGAATATTTGTGCTAACTTGTCATAAACAAAACTGGTTAAAGATCTATTTGTGATTTTCACCTTTTCTCTTCCTTAGCCAATATGGTGTTTTCTCTTATTTACGAGAGTTATTTGATGCTCCTCATCCTGTGATGAGTTACCTTTGTTCCCAGTATCGTGTTCATGATGTCCCTGTGGGAACTGAGAAGACCAGAAGCATGATTGAAAGGGTGAGAGGTGCTAAATAACATGAGTAGGACTATGATTTTCTTAAGACCATATTTAGGAAAGTTGTTGCAAAGTCGACATGAAAAAAGTTGTTGTAATGGGTGTTATTTTGGGTACAAATAGAACTTACTTAGTGGGGAGAAAACCAAGAATAATAGCTTGCATTATGAGTAGATTTTAACACATTGGAGCAAACTATTGGTTGCAGTGCTTCACAGGAAGTTAAATGTTCATCTTACCCTAGTAATGCACTAATCAAATCTCTAAAACTCAGAGGTTTATTATGGTAAAAAGTCAAAACTATGAATCTGTTTTATAGTAACCAAGTAAGCTTTTTGGGTGGTCAGGCCTGAGAGTTTCTGGGTACTTTTAAAGTAAAATAACTTACAAACAGTTACTAGCTTTCCAAATTTTAAAATAAATGTTTTCATTTTGGAGCTAGGAAATCTCATGACCCCTACTTAAAACAGTGAACTATTGAGAGCAGTAATTGAAAGGTACTTTCTGCTTGAAATGTCTTGTATCTAATACAGTATTGTAACCTCCTCACTGTATTATTTGTTTTGATAAAGGAAATACAGAAAATTTAGAAAAAAGAACAGGAGGACTTGTGGCACCCTAGAGACTAACAAACTTATTTGAGCATAAGCTTTTGTGAGCATCTGATGAAGTGAGCTGTAGCTGACGAAAGTGCCACAAGTCCTCCTTTTCTTTTTGTGGATACAGACTAACACGGCTGCTACTCTGAAACCTGTCAGAAAATTTAGACTTGTTTTAAATGGGCTTACAGAAAGAGTCACCTTCCTGGGAAGCCTGTGTGCGTGCTCGCTCGCTCTCCTCGCCCCATACCTCAGTCAGTGCTGAATTATGCATTCAAGATTTGCACTTGTAACTGTAATAAGAAATACGCCCTTCAGGACCAGTAGTTCTGTTTGTGGTGAACAGTTGCTTTTCACCTTGCACAGAGAATGGGATCCCAATGTGAAAAATTGCTTTTTCTTCTGGGGTATGGTTGGAAATTCACATTTTCTAAGGGAGCCTGTTGCCCTCAATCGGGAGAAAGGGAAAATTAATGCTCATTCAAGGAATAAGGTCTACAGGCAGGGAAGCTTGCCCCTTCTTTGTGGGAGAGGGGTTATCTATCTCTCTCTCTCTCTCTCCATCCTCATATGGTAGGGAGAGAACAGCAGGGTAGATGAGATGGCAGAAGATAAGAAATTCCTCTTCATCTCCCTATTTTGAAGGACCTATCTACTGGTCTTGAAGCCTATTCTTTTGATGGGGAGGAAAGAGGAGTCACTTGTTATGTGATCAAGATTTTCTGGAGTTCATGCCTATGTCCAAAATGTGTCTTGGGTGCATTAACTGAGGAGAGCTGGCAGCTGCTCCTCAACTCTGATGGGAATCGTGCTTCCCATGTGAGAAATGACACTTCTCCACATATCCTCTTTCGGGCAAGGTTATTTGATCTCTCCCCCATCACCACAGGCAATGGGAAGGGAAGACAGCAGGCTGCTTACACTTACTGGACGGTGAAAGAAGTCCAAAAAACTTTTTTCTCCTTTTCTGGCAACTCATCTTATGAGCACAGATGAGGAGGAGCCCCCAGTTCACCAACCCAGTGTGTTCATGATGTGTCTGGGGTAGAACAGCAGTTTTAAAATATCTGTGAAGGGAATGCTTTCAAGTATTAAGTGGGTCCCCCCATGCCCTCGACAGGGAACTATCACACTCCCAATTCATTACTCATGGTGGCAGGTGAGAGAATCCCACCAGTTCCAATTTGCCTACTGATCATATGATAGGCTATTTATTCTGAAACAAAAGCTCCTCTTGCAGCACTTACCTAATATTTGATACCATTTGAAATCCTAAATGATACTTTCTGTAGCCCAGAACAGGAGCTAATAACTTTTCTACTGTGGTTGCACAAACATGAAATTTCAAACATTAATAATTTGAAATCTTTTCCTTCACTTAAACTTCTCCTGATTTTTCTTTCCTCTGCTGTGTGGACCACAGTTATGTGAGGTGTTATGTGTATTTTATATTGGCTGTTTTGAGTTATTTGGGCACCACAACTGTGTGGGTTTTTTTTTTTGGTTTTTTTTTCAGTGAAATGTGTGGTATTCCTCATGCTCTCATAATAACTCTAATATTTAAATCAATTTTGCTGAAACATTGCAAATAAATTAATTTTGGGGCTCAGCCCAAGCATGGGAAGCTTTACTCATAGACTGAAGGAGAAAAAATAGTTAGAATGGAATTGCCCTCTCAACCTTAAGGTGAACTGCAAAGCAAAATGAAGACTTAGTTAAGCACAGATTTCAGTACTCAGTAACTTCACAGTATCCAGGTTGTGGGGAGAATTCTGTACAGAGATTTTTAATAAATAATTTTCAAATTATTTTCCATTCTGGAAACTTCTTGATTCATCATGGTTGATTGAGGATGTCACATAATCCTTCTGAATATTGCAGTACCATGGGTTGTATTGAGGCTTCCCTTATTTCTGATGTCTCCACCTTGAGCGTCTTCAGTGAATCATGAAGTACCAGATATCAGGGAAGGTATGAGATTTTAAAAGAATAATGATAAATGATAAATTCCACACCTCCTTTCAGGTGTCTGTTCTTAATCTAAGTCTCAGTTTTGCTTTGGGATTCACCTTAAACGCTAACTCTTTGGAACACCATAACAGACATTTACATAGCATCTTTCTTCTCCAAAAATCTGAAAGAACTACCTATATAATTTTGTGTCTATACAGGAGTCATTCACTCATCACAGAAGCACAGCAGTTGTTTTACTGTGTATGATAACACAGAATGAGTGTGATGTGGTTTTTTTTAATTGCTATTTTAATTCAGTCGGCAAAAACTTCAAATTCAATGATGCAACAAACTTGTTTAATCTCCTTTATGCAATGGCATGTTCATAAACCAGAAACTTGACTAATTTTAGTATTCCCACTCCAAATCATAGTTAGTTTTATTTTCTAGCCTGAAAATAATCTTCCTTGTTCAGAACAGGTGAGCCTTACATAAGATTTTTGTCAAATGGCTTTGGTTTTCATGTTTAGGTCATACAAGAAACCAAATTTAAGCAAATCTACACAGCAGAAGAAAGGTATTCAGTGAAAGTGTCTGCTTATACAAACCAAACTATTTCTAGTAACACATCCCTGAGACCAGCGCAGTTTCTCACTGTCACAGTAGATGCAGATGAAAGAAGGCAGTTGGAAAACCAACTAAAGGTAGGTTGTTTTATTTTAGTGTTTAGAAAAAAAATTCTAAATTACGTAGATTGAAGTACTGCCAATTTTTTGTTCAATAAAACTATTATTTGGCCTGAATCTGGTATGATTGTAATGAGAATATTGAAGATTTTTTGTGCCACTATTTACTATAGGATATTAATAGACGTTTCCAGTTACGGGATTCTCAATTGCATACGTTATATGAGAGGCAGAAGTATCTGGAACGCAAAGATAATGAGCTGAGACAGCAAAAGAAGGAGCATTTGGAGAGAAAAAACAAAAGGAAACAACTGGAATCAAAAATTAGTATGAAACACGATAGGTACGACTTCTGATGAGCCTGTTTGATTGCAAATATTTTCTCTTACTGAGACGACATTAAGATGCAGAAATAAGTCTGAAGTATTAACATCAGTTATGATTTTGTATATGGGTGACTAGGGCTATTTCAATAACAAAATGGAAATAACAAGCAATCCCTAAAATGTGTCTTGGCTACCTCTAGCCCATTGATTCTGACAAGATATAATTTATTCTTAAGAACTGGTTGGCAGCTGGGCTTCAGAAATGGGGTGGTATAGGTGACGCAGAGGCTTGATTCTCCTACCTTTCACTTGTGAAATATAGGTTCATCTGTGATTGAGGTCACCAATGAGAATATATTTATTCTCTTAAGCCTGATCTACACAGTTTTGTATACCGGTGAAACTCTTTCTGATACAAATGAGGAGGGGAATGATTTTAAAAAAAAATAATTATACTGGATGTTATGCCAGGTTAAAGGTACCTTTGTTCTCTAATAGTTTTTATTTATTTTTCCCTTATAGGAATAAGGATACCGATATAAGCACCTTTTATACTGGTATACATGCATCTGCACTAGTTGATTATACACTTTAACTACCAATATAGTTAAAGCAGTACAACCTTTGTGTATAGACAAACCCTTAATCTAGTTTCCCATGGGTGTTTTGGTCTGTTACAAGATGATCACACAATTTTACATGATCAGCAAAGATGTTACCTGATCTTTGTTTCATAAACACTTGAAAAAACAAACTGAAGCCTCAACCTTAAAAGGGTTCATCTTCAAATATTATCTTAGTACTCGCATGAAACATCATTATATTATTTTTTTGCTGATGAGATGGGAAATAAAGTACATTATAGCAAGTGCTACAAAGATAAATGGACTGACCTAAATGTGGTTATGTAGCATCCTTGCATCTTAGTGTTACAATGTTGCTTCATTTTCTTAGGACATCATTAGAGGATAAAGTACAGACAGCGGTTTCTAAATTCAGATTCAGTTCTGCTTTGTTGTCCAGTCAGAATGGGTTATAGCATATTAAACCTTCCTCCCAGAAACTAATCCTGTCCATTAATCTCTATTAGTCCAGTGAAGACAAAATTCTGAAGTTTCTCTTTAATTCAGATCTCCTAATCAGTTGTATGTTGCACTGCTTCAGTACCAGAAAACTCAGTCATTCTTTTTCTTAAGGTTTATTATATAGTGGAGAAAATATTTTTTGTCAATAAAAAGAGGAGGCAAATAATTTTTGAAGTTTTGTGCTAATGTATAACCACTCTTAAAATATTTGACCAAAATTTTGAAACCTGGACTCCCGAAAAAGTGGCCAAATTTTCTGAATTCAGTGGGAGCTGCAGATATTCAGCATCTCTGAAAATCAAGCCACTGTTATTTAAGAGCCTAACTTTGGGAAACCAGGCTTAAAAACATAGGCCAAAATTTCCAAACTCTCCTCTGCAGTGAGAGCAATAATAGAAGATAAGTAGCTGTTTTTCATAAATTAATACATAGAACAGAAATTAAAGAAAACAGCGTTAACTCTTACTTAAAATGATGCAATGAACGGGGGGAAAATCAGTTTCATCTTGTTGGGAACACACACTTTTAAAATGCCTTAATTGTAATTATATCCTCATTGAATGATATCATTACAGGGTAGAGTTAGGGTTGTTTGAGTGTCTTAATTGTGCATTACTTGCCTTAACGTGTTCAGATTTCTTACAGGTGTAATCGTAATTCTGAATTCCTTGGGTTGAAAATGCTTGGTTTGGGGATACTTACAACATCCTTGTCATATTCTTTACTCTAAAATTAAGCCTAGTCTACACTTAAAACTTAGGTCAACCTAGCTTCATCACTCAGGCCTGTGAAAGTTTTTGCAGCCCTGTGTGATATAGTTAGGTTGACCTAACCCCCACTGTAGACACAGCTAGGTTGACAGAAGAATTCTTACATCAATCTAGCTACCGCCTCTCAGAGAGGTGGATTACCTACATCGACAGAAAAACCCCTTCTGTCAATGTAGGAAGCGTCTACACTACCATGCTACGGCAGCACATCTGCAGCACCATAGTTGTGTGGCTGTAGCGTCTGTAGTGCAAACATACCCTTAGTGATACATACTCTCAACCTCAACAGTCAAAAGGCTCTTTATTACAGTATCTGATAGCTGTATAGTTATCAAGTAGAAGAATCTAAGTTCTGGAATAGGATAAATTCAGTTTTGGGTTTGAAATGGTGTTCTAATCCATAGAGCAACATTATCACCTTTTTTGGAAAGCTGACCTGCATTTAGTCTGCTTACAGACAATAGAAAAAGGAAATGGAGGAAGAATGTAAGATTTGTTTTAGAACCATAATTAAGAATGGTTTCAGAGTAACAGCCATGTTAGTCTGTATTCGCAAAAAGAAAAGGAGTACTTGTGGCACCTTAGAGACTAACCAATTTATTGGAGCATGAGCTTTCGTGAGCTACAGCTCACTTCATCGGATGCATTCTGTGGAAAGTGTAGAAGATCTTCTTGTACACACAAAGCATGAAAAAATACCTCTCCCCATCCCACTCTCCTGCTGGTAATAGCTTTGTGTGTATAAAAAGATCTTCTACGCTTTCCACAGTATGCATCCGATGAAGTGAGCTGTAGCTCACGAAAGCTTATGCTCAAATAAATTGGTTAGTCTCTAAGGTGCCACAAGTACTGCTTTTCTTTTTATAATTAAGAATGAGATCCCTTTTACAGATAACATTTTCTGCTGAATTTTTTTACAGAATCCTTTAGGATGGGAGGAGCAGGAAGTCAAGAGGCAGAAAAATAGATTCCCCTTTTTCTTTATTTAGTAAGGGCAGTTGGACCTCTTCTAATTTTCAATGTATTCATTTATGATGGACCCTTTAGGATTAAGAACCTGGGTATCTCAGCATGATTTAATCAGTATTAATAATAAATTGTTTTCTTTCATAGTTTGAAACAGATGGAGCAAGATGCCATCAATCTAGAAGAGGAGTCTCAACAAACAAATGCCAGGATCAAAGAAATTAATATCCAAAAAGCAAAACTTGTTACAGAATTAATGCAACTCATAAAGGTATGGCTCCTTCTTAGCTTTATACACATTTTTCCTTGTTGTGAGGGGCCTAGTATAGTTAAAAAATAAAAATAAAAAAGGGGGAGGGAGTAGAGCCTGCCTTAATAGTGGGAGGTGTTTTGAAATGTAGGTTTTTATTTTTAAAAGAGCTAAGTTTACTTCTGCTACATGAAGATGTGCTTCGGTTTGAACATAGCCCATATAAACTCTTTCCACTTTCTGTTGTTGGCATGCAGAGTTTACTACATGTGTACTTAAATATTATAAACTGACTTGGATAAAAGCTGCCATCTTGCTGGCTTAAGAGGCTTCCAGCCCATGAAATTGCCTAGCAAACATATGTGCAGTATATAACCTTTTCACCAAATTTCTTCTATTACCATATAAATTTTTAAATTAATTTTATTTTCCTTAGATCTCTTCCTTACCGTTACTTCTATATGAACATATTTTCTTGGTCCTACAAAAAATACCCTAGTTTATGATGATTAAAAAAGAATCTTTTCAGTATTTTTTTCTAGTTTGTTTATTTTGTCTTTTTGACAGCACTTGTGCATGTTTCATTTGTGTTTCCTCTGCATAGTTAATTTGTCTACTTCAGGTGGGTTTTTCACACAGCACCTGAGACTACCCCGCCCTTCTTTACAAACTGTAAACTGCAATTGTAAAATCACAAAAATCAAGAAGGGGTCAGGTGCAGTAGCTGAAATTACTTTGAACTCAGGTTTTTAAAGAACGGACTCGTTTTCAATTTGTCTGTAGCCCTTCAATAATTTTAAACTCCTTGGAATAATGAATCAGTCATACATATTTTAAAATACTGTGAACACCTTTGTTGTTGTATAAATGGTAATGGCCACTTGTTTGGGAAAGGTAGAGAACCATAAAATAAAATCCTTAAGTTTTAATAATCAAAGTAGATATTCTTCCTGCTCCTTAATCATCATCTTCAATTCCCAGGACTTTTTGGGGGACTGCTTATGCTAAATGGTCTCCTGTGAAAGCCTTCAGTTGTTTCCTACCACCTTTGGGGGTGAGTGTTTTTGTGGATACAGACTAACACAGCTACCCCTCTAATTCTTTTTTTGGGTGTTGCCTGTGAAATAATGCTGGTTCTATTGCACTGAGTAACCAGCATTAAAAGAAGCTTCTGCTTACCATGTCAAACAGATGAGTTGTTTTGGAGTATATTGGTAAGCCCTGAATGGCAGAGGTTGGAGTCTTTCACGGATCATGTAGGGTCATCTGGCTGAAGCAGCTTCGAAAACCACAGAGAATTGCAGAAGATAACCAATTTTAAGGCACGGTGGGCCCCCAGGGTTTGCAAATTACTTTTAAAAAGTAATTTTGTATAGGTAATATGCTGTTATTAAGCAAGTACTTTTTCAAAAGCAGTATTATTTTTATAAACAATTTTCTAAATTAAAATTTTAAAATATCAATTTATAAGAACAGCATCGCACTCTAGGATGACTGTGTTTATCAGTCAACATACATGCTTCTTGGGTGCAGTTAGCGTTCCTCTGCTTCTCATACACAGCACAACTAAAGTGGCATGTACAGTTATAGACCAGTGAACACCCTGTGTGGAAGAGTATTTTATTCTCCTCCTCCCACTACCCCATAGCAAACTGGCTTTCTAATATACTTTCTATTCCTTGGCAATACAGATTGGAGGGTGTTTGATTGCCCAGCTGCATGGAAGAATGATAAAAAGAAAAGGAGTACTTGTGGCACTTTAGAGTACCACAAGTACTCCTTTTCTTTTTGCAAATACAGACTAACACAGCTGCTACTCTGAAACCTGGAAGAATGATAGTTGTTAATTACGGGTCACAGAAATGTATATGGATTATACAACAGTTTAGGCTACACAACCATCTCAGTACCGTGTTTCAAATGAACAGTAAAATTCTGAGCCAAATTAACAGGCTACTGCTATGTACTGTCTCTTTAAAGGAGTAGTGAGTGTTCAAGTGAGAAGGACTAGATACTGCAGAAAGAAGTTTTGGGGGGAGAACTTGGTGCTGGAAGGGTTGTTGAGGTCCTCCTGAAAAGAGTAACTGAATAGTGAAAGCCTGCATGCTTGTATGCTGGCTGTTGGTGTCAGGGCTGTGAGCTACCGCAGCATAGTATTCTAGGCAACCAGAGTTGCAAAGCAGGTGGTGAGTGTGAACTCCTTGCTGACCTGGGTGAACCCCAAAGTGTGACACAGTAAGTAATTGGTTTTTCCCTCTTTTTGTTGCAGAACTTTAGCTCTTGTTTTCCCCTTAAATAGCTGTAACCTTTAAAAATTGTACACTTTTTTCAAATAATGTAATCTTTCTTAGGTTTTTTAATAAGTTACTTCACAATTTTTGTAACTTTAAAGCAGAGGATTTTCCTAGATGTTGTTTACATAACCTTTACAGCTGTAAGTAATGTTAAAAAAACAAATCTGTATGTTTAGTTGCACATCCCACACACCAACAAAGCTCTGCTTTTTCTACAAAACAAATCAGACGTTTAGCAAACACCTTGCTGCTTCAAGAAACAGACTGAAAACAGAACTGGGCTGGAGAGCTGAATCTGGAGTCCAGAACTTCGTTTAAAAATTGATATCTTGTAATCTGGTTTGTAAAGCCTGATGCTGCTGACAATATCCGTTTCGAGTGTTTCATGACAAAAGAGATATGATTTTTTGTGTTTTGCTCTGCAGAATTGCATAACATTGAACATCCTCAAAGTGGATTTGGTTCTTCAGAGCACTACAGTGAATTCCAAGAAGAATAGACTAGAATCTGATTATAAAGCAGCAACTGTACAACTAAGAGCTTTAGAGGTAAGCTTTGTTTTTTATTTCTCAATGTATTGGTAAATCAACTTTGAAAACACACTTTTTGCCCGGAAGCTTCCCCACTCAGGAATGGGCTGCTTCTGTTCTCTTTCTTAGTAATAGGTATCTCTACTCCTGATGCTAAGGTTTTTGTGCTTTCTGAAGCTTGCATCAGTTCTCTAGTCCCTTTCCCTTCCAGGTGAAAAGGAGCTTTGCTTCCCCATGATAACCAAGATGGCTATCTCTTCTGTGAAGATGTGCCCTAAGCATTTTAAACAGTATGAAGCTGGCATAATATCCTGCAAACCCAATCTGTCATTTAGAAATGTCATTTTCCTCCAGTGAGTAGCTCCAGTTGGGACCAATCTCCCAGAACTGACACTTGGTAGTGGACTGACCCAAATGGGACATGTCAGGGTCCTGATGAAGATCTGGAGGAAAGCACATTCAAGTAGGATAGGGCTGAGACCCTAGTTCTCCATAGCTGTTTTCCTTATCCCTTTTATTAAACTCCTGCCTTTGGGGAGGCCTAGTGGAATGAGTAGGAACAAGTTTCTTCCCCATTGCCATTTCTCTTACACTGTGACTTTTAAATGTTAGAAAGTAGTGCACTAAATGTTCCACATAAACTAATTTTATGGAGGAATTTAGCATATATGGTAGACATGAGAACTTTCATAATTTCTGGCTTGATTCTGCAAGTAAAAAACTCCATTTCCTGGCAGCGAGAATTTGGGTGTGCAAGAGGGGTCTATATTTTCAGTTCACCTGTGACCTGAATCAGCATCACTTGTTGGACAACTTCATATAGCAGAAAAGTTGAAATAATAAAATAAAGCTTTCAAGAAACTACAGGCAAAGGTACAGAGACTGGTGCACAGAAGAAGTAATTCGTATGAGGTGTTACAGAAATTATGTAGTGAAACTAAATTAAAACCTACACATTATGATTAAACATAAAATTAATTGTCAAACAATCAACAAAGACAGCCACAGATCACGTTACTCTTGCTACCATTAGTGAAGATCAGAGCAGGGGACAATAAAAAAAAACAAAAAACCCAAACCAGTGGCGCCTGCAGCCATATGCACGTTACACATGGTGCATACCATTGGTGGGGTAGAGCTGCTCTGGTGCCAGGCACCCCAACCTGAGTGACACTGGAACACTGCACAGTGGCTCACAATGCCACTCTGAAATTTGACTCTGTCATGATGGAGGGGTGGATGGGCCAAACTTGAGTGGTGCTGTGCTGAGTTAAAGTGAGAGTGGTTCAATTCTGCATACCATGTGAAAAATTTCTGGTGGTACCCTTGGGAGAAACTGAACTCTTGCTAACATTGCATTTATTAATAATGTTTCTCTTATTAAAAGTTGTTAGTCTTTAAAATATTGTTATAAGACTTGAATGGCCCACAAAACCCAATTCACTCCCTCTTCCTGAGGAAAGAGGGCTGCATATGTTCATGTGTGAGTTGTCAGCACTGGGATTCCGTGGGAATAGCAGCACATTGGGTGTATTTTAGACACTTGGATTGAAAGGCATTTTCCTTCCCAACGTGTGTGCTTCAGAATGTGTCACGTTAGTAGCAACAGATTTGTGGGGTTTTTTGTTTGTCATGGCAGCTCAAGTCAGAACCTTAGTATTATTTTAACAACTTTTTGTAATTAATTTGTCTAATGAGCATGAGAAGCAAATGTGTGTTTATGACCCATATTGAACAGTAGGGAGGATTGTTAGCCCCATCTGCTCATTACATAATTGGCACAGTCGCCTTTGTGTTTATGATGATTGTAAGAGATTTGCTAATTGTCTTGCTTTGATAGCTTGTTAATTTTTAGGTTCATTTGGTGTAATTTTTTTAAATGATTGCTATTAAACTCTGTATGTATGTTGTTGTTTTTTCTTTTAGGCCAAGTTTGAAGAAAATGCAAATTCTGTTTTCCTTCTGTATGAATTGCCCATCTTTAATTATTTAAATACTGTCACTAAGAATGCATTCAAACACACATTCATGAGAAAATATTGGCTACTGGCTACTATATTTTCTTTGACTAGTTTCTCATTTCCCACAAAACCAATTGCACTCCTTACGAATGTAGAATGTGAGAGGGTTCTAGTATCCAGTAGCGTGCCTTTCAGTAGCTGTGCCTTAGCTCCACTCTAGCATAGACTAACCCACTGCCCAGACTAAACTCTCTCTCTTCCTGAATTAGTTCTTATATTGTCAGCTGAAATAACAGTAACACATAGGTCACTCTAAGCCTTCTCCCTTAAACTAGAATTTCCCTCTAGGACCTATCTATTCTAGACAGTAATTCCCTGTGCCCAGAGGGGCGTGCCCAGAGGGGCACATCCCTTATATCCAGGATGGGATTAACTGTACTTGCCAAATGTTAGCATTTCCATGAAGTATTTGAACACATAATAACTGGATGGGTCTATAGAAGGTTCCACATGTACGTACTTATATACATACTTAAGGGTGTGTGAGGAAAATATCCATCTCATGTGGATATGATAGCCATGTAATAAATATCAGTCATGTGATAAATGAATTCATTACACACATTTGAGTGCCTCACCTACCTACTCATCCGTTTATCCTGGTATTTATTCTAACACTTATAGCCCAGAACAGCTTCAAACACCTGCTTTTTTTCTTTTAAAAAAAAATCAGCCTGCCCCAATATGTTTCCTCCTCTTCCCAGATACATGTGTTCCCCCAAAACTGCAGCTGCCCAATGGCTAGAACAGGCAAAATTCAGCCCTGTGTCTAAAAACATCACATTAAGGTCTATTTCATGCAGCCCTGTGGGGTTATAAATGGGGGCTTCTAGCCTTTCATTACCAGAGATGACAGACTATAAAATTGACATTTTTATGTACAGAAAAGTGATATGTCATTTTCACAGGTTCTTTTGGCTTCTTTTGAACCCTGTATGTTTGTACTCATGGTAATGAAGGCAATTGGCTTTTAAAGTATTGGGATACAAAAAATAGTCCCAGTTACATTTTGAAAACTCGTTAAAATGTTCCTAAATATTTTTCTGTAATAAATAGCATGAATAAACAAATAGTGGAGCAGGTGTGGTGAGGTATGTAGGTTTTATTGACACTTATTTAGAGTGACCTGTGTAACTCATTTTTGGCTTGTGAGTAATTGGGCCATCCCAAACTTGTGACAATAAGTTTTATGCTAAACCACACCATCATGAATTTTCTTTCTGTCTATATGCACACACTGTTAATGTTTAAAAAAAAAAATTTAACACAACATTAGAGAAATCAAATGTTCAGAACTGAAAAAGGGTAGAATTAATGACAAGATGTTCCAGTTATTTGTGCTTTAAAAATACCTACATAGGGGGTTGAAAATTCCATCTTAACTTTCTCCTGTGCTGCTGCTTTAAAATGGGCTGTTTTTATATCATTATAAAATACCTGTTCAAACTGGGTAGTTCTTTACAACTTTATATATGCAGCCTTTAATGTCTGCCTTGATTTTTTTCAGTCACAAGACTTTAAAATAGTAGTCAGGCCTTGTTTGATTTTTAAGTTGCAATGAGATCTACAAAACAAGCCTAGTTTTCAGAAATTTAGTACAGAAACTTTAAAATTCTGACTATTAAAAGCTGAATGGACTAACATTCAGGGTAACTTTTACATGGTCCTCAGGTATACAAACGACAGAGCTTGATATGATCCAGAGTCTCAAACCAAACTAGCACTGAATTAATTTAAAAAGCCTAGTATGAATGTTTTAAGATGCTGATTTAAACTTTCATAACTTTAGCACTGTTAAACTAATGTTATTAAAATTTATTTTGTCCTTAAATGGAAGGTCCCTAACTCTGTGGGTATTTTTATATTTTGTGGTTTTATTGCACCTTTTTCTGAAGATACCAAAGCACTTTAGAAAAATGTATTAAATCTCACAACACCTCTTTAAGGATGATAGAGAAGTATGCTTTCCATTTTACAGAAGGTGAAACAGGCACAATGAGGTTAACTTGCCCAACTTTGTCTAACTTCAGAAATACTGAACCACTTTTGTCCGTAAAGCAGCCAAGTTTGCAAGTTATGCAGGTGAACGCTTCTGCTCAGGACTTATGGGATATGTTTTTGTCATCCGTCCATCCCATCCCATCCTGTGGTCCCGTCCCTCCCGGCCCCTCCAACACACACACCTCCAAGTGCAGAGCCTAAATGTTTGAACATATATTACACATGCTTTGGGAAGAAAAACTACTCCTTTGGACTGATAACCTAGCGTAGAAAATTTCAGTCAAAAAATATTTATGCCAAACTCTTGAACGTCTGTAAGAACTGAGGATGCGTTTGTCTTAATTTATAGCTGTTACTACTACTAATGTTGTATTATTTAGAACAGTGATATGAATTAATCTAATTACATTGACAGAGAGTTACTTAAACAAGTTTTATTGTCAGTACCTATAGGGTGGGCAGTATATTTTTAAAATATGAACACACACTTCATCCAGTAGAATATACAAGTATTGAGTCTTTACTTAACTGTATACATTTTAAAACATTTTTGGTCCCATTTTTGTCCATGTGATTCCTGGTTTATGTAGGGGCGTAAATGTGTGAAAATTGGATGTAACTGACTATTTGTGCTTTCAACAAAAGTGAAAACAAGATCTTAGTCCCTGCCCCAAGGAGTTTACAGTCTAAAGATATTCTAGATTTGATTGATAGATACATGTAGCACTGTTTTTCTAAATTTGCTCTTAGTCATTACTGTGAAACTGTTACTTTGTATCTTTTGCCTGTAATTGTAAAGGTAGCATATCAGAGATGAAGAGAAGTACATTATTTCCTATTTAACATACAGCTAATCTGTTTGTATAGTTTCAACTGAAATATTCCTCGTAATGCAAATCCTATTTACTAGATGGCTCTGTTATATCTAGTAGAAAAACTAGTGCTAGTTGGGAGGCATGATACAAAATAAAGAAACCCTGCAATAGTCCATCTCTTCCACCACCAAATTTTAAAGCAGAGATCTACATCTGGACCTAGGCAGAGATCAAAACCGTGGCTCTCTTTGTGAAAAACACATTCATATATTTTACAATTGTGCACTCAGATTGATCCATTCACTCAGATCTGCCATCCCTTTTGTTTAAAAAAAAAAAAAAAAAAATTTAAAAAGCCAGAAGAAGATTGTTTTTTGAAAGGAGGGATTATTTTCAACCTCTGTAAACAATCTGCGATGATTTCACAAACCTTCTCTCTGAATCTGACATGATTACATCCAGTATGCTGGTTCTAAGGGTGATGGTGGAGTTGGAGTGTGTGAAATTGATCACTTTTGTCATTAAACTTTCTTCTGTAGTTCCCTCTCTCTAGGACTTCATGCAGGGTCACAGATTGATTGACTGTAACTGAAGGCAGTGGAGTTTTCTTTAAAATAAAACAACTTTTTATTTTAATTTCTTCTATACTAGCAACAAGTTTCTGACCTGGGTGAAAAAAAACGTGTTCTTTTGGAGAAGTGCAAGGGACTGATGAGGAAAGCTAGACAGGCGTGTAATCTCAGCCCTGATCAAGAAATTCCAAAAGATTTTCAGACTGTAAGTATTAAAAACAAAAGGCCACATTTTTATAAGGATGTAATGGCATAACATGAGGAGATACTTTCACTAGCTAAGACTGGTTTAGTGCACCTGCACCTAAAGCAAGGTAGTCCGTTTGTGAAAGCTAGATGGTGAGTTTCCAATTTCTCCTTGCTTCCTGCCCCAGTTTCTTACAGTTGTGGAGTACAAGACAGAGCAAGCACTTCCTCTTCCCCTTACGGGCTGTACCCTGCCTTTCTATGCCTTCTGCTTATTGGCCTGATCCAAAGCCCATTGAAGTCAAGTAGATCTTTCAGTTGATGTCAGTGGGCTTTGAATCAGGCCACTCGATCCCTGTTCTGATCCTCAGGTTAATTTCTTCCCTGATGACTTTAAGGGGCAAGTGCACCCCCGTTTTCAAAATCCTTGTTATATATCTTTGTAATTCTGCCCAAACAAACAAAGCCCACTTCTCAGTAAAACAAATCTGGAGTTTGTAAGACATGTTCGTTTGGAAGTATGTTGAGACAAAATATGTTGGGAAAAACGTCATTTGGTGACCAGAAAATATTTTAAACACCATAACTTGAAAATTTATTAAAAGTAGGAAAAATTTTGAGAGAGATTCTATCCTGGGATGAATTGTGTGCGTAATATGAGTTTTCCAAGGGGGATATTGGGAGTAATAGGTTTGAAAATCAAAAAGAGTACTCAGATAAGTGGCCCAATTTTCAAAAATGTTGAACATCCAAAAGCTCCAGTTAAAGTTTTGGACACAGAACAGAGTTAGAACCCTTCTATAACCTGAATTTTGGACGTTCTATTGATTGATTGTTTGCACTGTCTTCCACCTGTTCCAGTTGCTGTAGTCCAGGGGTGAGCAAACAATGGTCCCCGGGCCAGATCCGTCCCATCAGGGCTTTGGATCCAGCCCGCGGGATTGCCACCCCCATGGTGCAGCGGGGCAAAGGCAGGCCCCCTGCCTGCCCTGATTCCGCGCCGCTTCTGGAAGCAGCCGGCACCACGTCCCTGTGGCCCTTGGGGGAAGAGGGAGGCACAGGGCACTATGCACTACCCTCGCCTGTGGTACCTCCCCCGAAGCTCCCGTTGGCTGCGGTTCCCAGGAGCGGCGCAGGACCAGGGCAGGCACGGAGCCTTCCTTAGCCCCGCTGCATGCCGCTGCCACCTGGAGCCACTCCAGGTAAGCCCAACCCCCTGCCCTGAGCCCCGTGCTGCATACCAACCCCCTGCCGCACCCCTCCTGCACCCCAACCCCTTGCCCTGAGCCCCCTGCCATACCCCGCACCTCACCCTACACCCCCTCCCACGCTCCAACCTCCTACCCCAGCCCTCCATTCATGGCCTTGCATGCAATTTCCCCACCCAGATGTGGCCCCTGGGCCAAAAAGTTTGCCCACCCCTGCTGTAGTCCCCCCATCTGCTGCTGACCTTACTTTTCCTGCCCACAGTGCTCTGCTACAGCCTTCCCTCCCTTTGTTTTTACCTTCCCTATCTCCTCTCCATCGGCCTATTGCCTCTTTTTGTCTGTCCTTTCCTCATTCTTTCTTCTTATTAACTCTCTTCTCCTTCCTCCAGTTCCCCCTTAATGCCACCTCTACCTTTTCCTTCACTTTAAAATCATCCTGATATAAATGCTTTAAAAAATACGTGCTAGTAAGTTTTCTTGAATGTTCTTCTTGTCTCTGACCTCTCCACCCTGCATGCTACCTAGGCCTTTCTGTTTTGTCTTCCCTCGTTACATCAAGTATTCATTATGATTTCTTCTGGGCAGGAAGAGTATGTTTGTCTGGGAAGTACCTCTCGCAAAAGAAGTTTCCCTTTTTCTTTATTTTTTCTTCTATCCTCCACCTAACTCCTTTACCTGTCGTTTGCTTATGCTTCTCTAAAATAAGACTTGGTCTTGCAAAACCTTACTTGTATGAGTATTACCATTTACTTCAATATAAAGAACTGTTCATGTAAGGATTTGCATGATCATTGTGCCCTTAAATTGTCATCTTCTCAAGAATAGGGACCATGTCTGTAAAGCAGGTGCTATATAAACTTAACTACCGCTCCACCCACACCGAACTCTCTCCCCTCAGGAATTAAATAGTGTTTTAAGTTTAGTTAATTTTTTACACTGTTATGAAAACTGGTATATCCCATGATCACAAAAAGGTTTTTCCTTGTTGTTTATTCTATATACACAATAGGGGAGGGGGAGAATTTGTCTGGTTAATTAATCAAAACTCCCACTTTAAAGGAAAGAAATTTGGGTCAGATTCTCCTTCCTTTTCCAGTTTAGGCAACATGAAAGGCCCAGAGCCTGGATGTATCTGGCCAGCCGAGTAGGGCTGTGTAGGGAAGCTCTCATCTGGCATAGCCACCTCCTATGCTACCGTCCAGTTTCTAGATGCATGACCAGAGTGCCACTGCACTCCACCAGTTCTCAACTAGTGGGGCTCTTGTGGACCATTGCCAGGTGAGATAAGTTAGAGCCGCTGCACCAGGGTTGGGGCTATACCTGCACAGGCAGAGAATTAGGGAGCCATAGTTAGCTTCCCAACAGCCCTCCCTCATCCCCCCCACACCAAGCACTTCTCAGGAGAGAATCTAGCCACTTAAATTTAAATGGATTGTGTCTTAATAAAGTGACCTAGCGACTAGCAGTGTTCTTGGTTGTCCAATTTCTTGCAACTTTTTAGTCATATTTCAAGCCTCTCTCAACATTAAACTATCTAATGAATAAATTGTTTTTCTTCTTGTAGGCATTCCAAGACCTTCCAAGCACATTGGATGAAATCGATGCTTTACTGAATGAAGAGAAATCAAGAGCCTCCTGCTTCACAGGCCTAAATGCTTCAGTATGTTTCCTGCAGTACTGTACTTGCTTCCCACTCTGTACTAGAACTCTTGGTAATAATTAGCTAGACAGCAGGATCAATGTGCTATAAATGCCAGATCTGACTCTATTAGAATTTTAAGTAGGTTCTTCCAAAGGAACAGCATGTTCTCTGCCTTTTGTTTAGAGAAAAATAGTTGGGTTAACCTGAAATACAACAATGGCTTAGTTGCTCTTTGCTTTAAAGAGACGAGTGTGTCCTGTTCAATGTATAAACAGTGCATACACTACTTAGTTATATGTAAACAAGGGCAGTGTTTACATATGTGTATTTTACTGTTAAGATTTGAATTGACAAATATCTATTTTGTCAATTTGAAATACTGTATTTTTGAAGGATGATGCTTTTTCCTGACAGGTTGTTGAAGAATATAATAGAAGGGCACAAGAAATACAGCAAGTAACGGAGGAACTAGAGGAAAAGAAAAACGAATTGGAGAGCTATAGGCAAAACATTTCACAGGTAATATATGAAATCATTACTGTAGTATAATTAATGTAGGAGAAACATAAATGGGTATATACTTCCATTAAAATGCACCATATTCATTTTAAAAGATATTTCAAGTTTTGATGCTAAGAAAAATGAAATGTTGGCAATTGCTGTATGCAGTAGTGTTGTAGCCATGTTGGTCCCAGGATGTTGGAGGGACAAGGTGGATAAGGTAATATCTTTTATTGGACCAACTTCTGTTGGTGAAAGAGACAAGCTTTCAAGCTTACACAAAGCTCTTCTTCAGGTCTGGGAAACTAAGGGCTTGTCTACACTGGCGCTTTACAGCACTGCAGCTTTCTCGCTCGGGTGTGAAAAAACATCCCCCTAAGCGCAGCAAGTTTCAGTGCTGTAAAGCACCAGTGTAGACAGTGCACCAGCGCTGGGAGCCGCACTCCCACCGCTGAGAGCTACGTCCCTCATGGAGGTGGGTTTTTTAGAGCACCAGGAGAGCTCTCTCCCAGCACTCTGCAGCAGCGCTTTAATGGTGCCAGTGTAGACTGGTGCTGTTAAATCAAGGCGGAACAGTTTGTTAATTTAGCATAAGCAGTTAACACATATTTTAAGGGACCATTCAAGGTAAAGTGGCCTGTTAACACCCCTCCAGTCATAGGGAGGAAAGGAAGTGGGGGAAGTAGCTGGGGGTGGCGGGTGTTAGCGGGTTACAGATTGTTATAATGAGCCATAAATCAAGTGTCTCAGTTCATTCCATGATTTTTAGTATCTAGCAAAGTTTTATGAATTTAAGGTCCCAGGCTCATCTCTTCAAAGTGTTGTGCAGGTTTCCTTTGTTGATGAGGACTGATAGGTGAGATACAGAGTGACTGCTTTGTGAAAAGTGTTCACCCACAGATGATAGGGTGTTTTTATCTTTTTATCATTTGCCTGTGAGAGCTCATTACAGAGCATACTGGTTGTCTGGTTTCACCCAAATAGTTGCTATTGGGGCATTTAGTGCACTGGTGAGGTTTTCCACATGTGATAGGCGTGTGTAGGACCCATAGTTCTTGAAAGGCGTGTGTAGGACCCATGGTTCTTGAAAGGTGTTTTGCAGGGGGTGTTGATCATTGTAGCAGTGCAGATGTGTGTGCAGGTTTTGCATCTGTTGTTCTGGCAAGGTCTGGTGCTGTTTTGAGTTGGTGTGGCCTGATCTGTGGGGAGTTTGCTTTTGATGGTGAGCTTGGAGAGATTGTGGGGGTTGTTTGAAGGCCAGAAGAGGGGGTTCAGGAAAGATTTCTTTCAGGATGGGGTCCCCATCGGGTGGTGGATATAATAGGCCAGGGGAGCCTAGCGCAGCCGCTGCTGCAGGACTCCGGTTGCAGGTTTAGCGGGCGAAATTTTTGCGTTTTATTATGCCCCATGCAGGTTCTGGGGCGACTGAGGAGGCCGTACATGCTATTCAACTTCCTGCGTTTATTAGTAATCTCCCTGAACTCTAGGGAGATTATTGATGAACCCTGGATGCTGTCTGAGTAACACATACCGTCTCCTCAGCCGCCCTGGAACCTGCATGGGGCATAGCAAAAGCTCTTCTTCTTTCCGGAAGAGAGAAGAAAAGAGTTTTTGAATTTTTGAGGGGCGGCTTAGGGTCCGCAGAGGGGAGGCATGGGTGTGGGAGGCTCTGGCTGCCCCGGGACTCTTCCGAGTAGGTTGGGGCTGGGGGGTGCTCAGGGCCCTGGTTGGCCCGGGGCTCCTCTGGCCGCAGAGGGGGGGAGTAGGTTTCGGGGGGAGGTGGGATAAGGGAGTCTCAGGGCTCGGGCCACAGGGAAGGTAGGGTGGTAAGAGAGGTTCGATTAGCGGGGGTTAAGGGAGGCTCGGGGGATAGCGTAAGGGAGGCTCGGGCCACCGGGGTGTTTGTAAGGGAGCCTTGGGGCTCGGGCCGCAGGTGGCGGGGTAAGGGAGTCTCAGGGCGCTCTGGCCGCGGTGGGAGGGAGTCTCGGGGCGCTCCGGCCACAGGAGGGAAAGAGGGAGTCTCCTGCTGCAGGGTGGGAGGCAGTTTTGAGGGTGGAGCCAGGGGCTAGCCTCCCTGAAATGGGGCTCCACGCTGCCCATGCCACAGAGTATGAATTGTAGTTGTGTGATGATACCTTGTCTGGGTTCCAATGTGGGATGGTAGGTAACAACTAGAGGTGTGCATTTGGAGTGGGTTTTATTTCTGTATTGAAGCAGGATCTCTTGGATTATTTGGGTGGCCCAAGTGAAGTGATCTACTTCTCTGGTGGAGTGTCTTTGTTTGGTGAAAGTAGTTTTGAATGTGTTAAGGTGTATATACCAGACTTGCTCTTCAGAGTATATTCTGTGGTATCTGAGTGCCTGGCTATATATAATAGTTTGGGTGGTTACTTGATCTATGAAGTAAGGTATGGTGATCTGTGGGCAATTTTTAATTTAAATTTTACTGTAATAGTTAAATTTGATATTTTGTTAATTATTGCTTCAACTAAATTCTTTCAGAGGTTGTTTTACATTAGTCTCTTTATTTTTAGGTTAAAGAAAGGTGGCTAACACCTTTGAAACAGCTGGTTGAACAAATTAATGAAAAGTTCAGTAATTTCTTTAGTTCTATGCAGTGTGCTGGTGAAGTTGATCTTCATACAGAAAATGAGGTATGATTACCATATCTATGAATAATAGCTTCTACATTTTAATTTTTTGTGCTTAAATGTCTCAAAATGAGACAAAATGATGTGTAATTTTGTTCTGGGTTATGGGGGAATGGGGGTCACATACAGGCATTAATCTTAAATTCTCTTGATCCTTTTACGTGAAAATCTAACTTCTCTTTAACTATCAGAACCAATTAATTTGTGTCTCAACCAAATGAAAGCAGAATCATCACCAGCTGTATAACAATCAGTCTTATCAGAAGTTTCCAAAGCTAGATGGAGCTGAGTAATCCACTTATTCCAAAGACTAGTTTGTCTATCACATCCTTCTTAAGGAGGTCTAAACCTTTCTAGATCCCAACTTTCTGGATGTGCATGTCCCCTCTCTGTCAAAGCAGAACCTTGCGGAAAAAGCAATGACTGTTGGAGCCACCCAAATCCTTCATCACAAGAACCCAGGGGATGCCAGGAACCACAGCCCTGATCTTACCCCAAGTTCCTTTTTGATGACTGTAGTAGATGGAAACGGAAACCTTAGCTCTTCCTCGCCCAATCTTCCTGGTCCTCTTCTAGTTCGTTAGTTAACAGCTCATGGTTGTTTGCTGTTTAGCATTAAAAAATTGTATTGATGTGGTTATTCTGTATTTCAGGGTGATGCTGCAGCTTAATTGCCAGTCAAGAGCTGATTGTACCACTCACAGTAGTACAGATTGGCTTTGTTGTTGGTTACTGTTTAGGTCTGTCCATTTCAGTCTATATTTGGCAGTATATTTTGGTGCAGCATCAGTGAGACTTGTTCCACATTCAGTCATTTTTGGTGAACTATTATGCTTTCAGTGGTATTTGAGAAGTATCTCTTATCCCTACTGTTACTCACACCTTCTTGTCAACTGTTGGAAATGGGCCATCCTGATTATCACTACAAAAGGTTTTTTTCTCCTGCTGATAATAGCTCACCTTAATTGATCACTCTCGTTATAGTGTGTATGGCAGCACCCATTTTTTCATGTTCTCTGTGTGTGTGTATTGTGACAGGGTCAGGCCAGATGGCTACAGGAGAGTGATAGAAGGCAGATATATTAGCCCCAGGTTAAATAGGTCCCTTTTTCCCTGGGTAAGGTAACAGGGAAGCTTCCAGAACAATCAGGAACCTTCTGGAAACAATTAAGGCAGACAGGCTGATTAGAACACCTGCAGCCAATCAAGACACTGCTAGAATCAATTAAGGCAGGCTAATCAGGGTACCTGGGTTTAAAAAGGAGCTCACTTCAGTTTGTGGTGCATGTGAGGAGCTGGGAGCAAGAGGCACTAGGAGCTGAGAATGAGAAGGCATACTGATGGAGGAATGAGGAGTACAAGCATTATCAGACATCAGGAGGAAGGTTCTATGGTGAGGATAAAGAAGGCGTTTGAAGGAGGCCATGGGGAAGTAGCCCAGGGAGTTGTCGCTGTCGCACAGCTGTTCCAGGAGGCACTCTAGACAGCTGCATTCCACAGGGCCCTGGGCTGGAACCTGGAATAGAGGGCGGGCCCAGGTTCCCCCCAAACCTCCCAACTCCTGATCAGACATGGGAGTAGTTGACCTGGACTGCGGGTACATGAAAACGGCCAAACTGAGGGCTGCCATGAAGCTCCAAGGCGAGCAAATCCGCCAATAAGCGCAAGACCCACCAAGGTAGAGGAGGAACTTTGTGTGTGTATGTCTCTCTCTCGAATGAATATCTTCCTACTATCATATATTTTCATGTATAGTATCACTGTATTTTCCACTGCGTGCATCTGATGAAGTGGGTTTTAGCCCACAAAAGCTTATGCTCAAATAAATGTTAGTCTCCAAGGTGCCACAAGTACTCCTTCTGCTGATACAGACTAACATGGCATGAAACCTCTTAGTCTTGGTTGCTGGTGGGGAAAATATCTGAAATGCCTTGGAGAGGGGCATTGAATGGAGTGGAGTAAAATAAAAATTAATAAAATATGCTTTCATTAAGAGAATCCATTTTAGATTATTTTAAGAAACATTTGTTACACAGACCTCTTATATGAAATATTCACTGTATAATGTTGAACTAAAGTGTACATTACAGTCCATGCAACTTACAGTTCCTTTATAAAACTACTGTAAAGTACTCAAATTCTCAGTTTTAAGAGTGTTTAAAATAAATAAATAAGTAAAAAGTTGAAGGCTCTTTGGTGAAACTTCTAGGGTATGAATATTTAGAGGAGAGGTCCTAGCTGGAAAATTTCCATTTTACATGAATAGTTCTGCAGCCCAGCATCTCCCAGAATTCTTGATGTCTGGGCTGCTTTCCTCTCTGCAGTTCATGGAACCTGATCAGCATTTTGACACCACATGGTCTGGCTGTGCCTTCTCTGCAATCGCTTGTTGCCAGATTCTCCGCCTTTGTGACAGCAGACCGTGGCGGTTTCATTTGCACCTGCCCTTTCGCCTTCTATGCTAACTCTGCTCCCCACTGCCCAAAAAACTGGGCAGAAGTGTTCTCCTTCCTGAGTTTTTCTCCTCCCCCCAGGGTCAGTTAACCTTTTGGCAGCTTAACCCTCCCTGAGCCTTCACAGCAGTGTCCTTTGGCCAGCTGTTTTGCCCCTTATAGGCATAACAGAGCAGCCAAGAAAGCACCAGGTCAAATCTAAGCAGTGTTCTGTATGTGAGGCAGCCTTCCCAGGCTCGGCAGACAGCAAGATGTGCCCAACCTGCACCCAGCCTTCCATACCTATTTCCATTAGGTCCCAGGACTATGAGTTGAACAGCAGGTGGGGTCCCCTTCCCACCAAGGAAGCCAGAACTCCAACAGGGGAAAAATGAACTCCAGTGCAGAACAAGGAGAGATTCCAAAAGCAGGGAGGACCCTCCCTGGCCACTCAGCTTAAGGAGTACATCACACGGGACCTCTGACAGAACAAATAGGGGAGGCTTGGGCAGGACTTGCAACGCTGCAAGTTTTAAAGTGGGCACTCAGTGCAGAGGGGAAAGAAACAGGACTTCTGATCAGCCTCCCTTTCTGCTATGCCAACCAGGAGGGTTTTCGATAGCAAGTTCCCCCCTCCCACTTGGAATGGGACCCAGTGTGGGAGGATTCTGAGACAGACCTCTCGAGAGGGCAGTAGGCCCTAAGGAAGGCAAATTGCAAAAGGCCTCAATAAAGCAGCAGCAGAGCTTTCACTTTCCCAAAGCATGCTAAAAAAGGTTTAAAAAAATTCTAAAGAAGCTAAAAAGAAAAAAGACAAAAAATCCAGAAGATATGAGTCCTCTGACTTCTCTTCCTCCTCCTCCTCCTGAACTGAGGAAGACAAGCTGCATGGCTATGAAACCTGCTAAGGCTCCTGTGAGTACCTCAGAATAAATTTCTCCCCTCAAAATCCTCCCCTCAGGCTGCAATACCCCTTCATTTCTCCTTCAACCGGTGATTAGGGATGATTGGAACAAGTCTTATTCGGCTTGTTCCAATCCTTTTGTGCCACCCTCCAGGCATTGCTGGCACTTTGCAAGAACATCTCTTTCCTGGCTGGAAGATCTCCAAAGCTCTTAAGGACAGAGTTCACCCTGACTTTGCTCCACTTTTAAGAAAGTCGCCCTAGCAACATCATTTGTAACTGATGCTTCAATGGATGCAGTGAGGTTCTCAGTCCAAGCTATGGCTTCCAGCTTAATAGTCAGGCATCACCAGTGGCTTTGACCGTGAAAGGTGGATCCTGACTCTAAGCAGATCCAGTGCTTGGCCAAGTTTCTAGGCTTCCTTCTTTTTTGATAAAAGCTGGATAAGGTGGTGGCTGACAATGCAGCAAAATCCTAATAGTCCCTCCCTTTTCCACTAAGTGTCCTCAGGAGAGAATATAGATCGGTCTTCAAAAGGAGCACCTCTGTCTGCTCCTCATTCTCAGAGGCATCAGCAAAGGGAAAATAGATTCCCTAAGGGAAACAGTGTAATCGAAGTCTGAACAGAAAGTCTAGAGAAACTTCAGCCTCCCTCCTGCCAGATTTACTTTATGGCAAAAATTGCATAGGCCTCGATCAGGAACTGAAGCAAGGGGACAGGATTTCCCATTTCCTAGAAGAATAGTTTTCACTGACCACAGACAAGTCAGTCAGGGAAATAGTGAGTCAAGGATACTCCCGAGAGCTGCGGGCTCCACCCCATCCGTTTTTCATCCAGTTATCCAGTTCCAACAACCACATAAAACGCAATCTGATCTAGCGCAAAATATCTCATCTGCATATGGCAGTGAAAGAGTGTTCCCTCAAAAGAAGGGAGTAGAACCTAGCAAATCATCTTCTTCATTGTACAGAAGTGCATGGGAGAGTATCAGAACTGTTCTCAACCTCAAAAGGCTCATCAAGTGGGTGAAGAAAATAGGGCTTCAGATGGAGACTGTGGCCTCTATGGTGTTATCCATGTCCCAGAGTGGCTTCTTCACTTAAGTAGATCTAGTGAACACATATTTCCATATCCCCATCAGACCATGCCACTGCAGACTTCTGCAGCAGGAAACATCAATACTGACCACACCCATTTGTCATTTCCTCGGTCCCAAGGTTTTTATTAAGATGATGATGGTGAGAAAAGCCAGATTCAGGTCTCGGGGAACTCTCCTGTACGCCTTTCTGGATGACCTCCTGATCAGAGCTCTATTGCAGTCATCAGTGCACAGGGCCACGTTTTGGATGTTGACTCTCCTTCAGGTGCACAGCTTCATCATCAATACCAAGAAGAGTTCTCTGGTTCATCTACCAGAATAACCCACCTGGGGGCAGAAATAGACACCTTGGTATTGAAGATCTACCAATCATTAGAAAGGTTTCAGAAAATTTAGGAGTTGATTTTCTTGCTTAGGAGCTGCAGGAGGTTTATCGTAGCACTGTGCCTCCAACTGCTAGGACTCCTGGTGTCATGCATAGGGATCACTTCAAGGGCACAAGCATGCATCAGAAGTCTTCAAGCCTTCATACTACAAGTATGGGACCATGCTCCAGAACACATGAAAGATTAAGGTTCCAACATAGGTATTCTACTCCTTACAGTGGTCAGCAGCCCACAACAATGTCCACAAAGGCATGCTCATCTGCCTTCCAGATCCTTTAGTCCTTGCAACCAGGCCAGCTTGGAGGGCTGGGGATCTCACTTGGAGACCTAAACAGACTGGGGCCTCTGGAGTCAAGAGGAAAAGACTCACAGCCTAAACTTCCTAGAGCTGAGAGTGGTCCAGCTAGTTTTGTGACGGTTCCAGCCCACCCTAATGGGGAATCACGTTATGTTTCAATAGGACAACACAACTACAGTCATACATTTAAAAAAACAAGGGGGAACAAGGATTCCGGTACTTCATGTGCACGTAATGGATATAATGAGATACGTGGAACATTTCTTCTTTTCTCTCTGAGTGAGCCACATAAAAGGGCACCTGAACCAAAAGGCAGACTAACTTAGCAGGCGCAGGGTCAACAGACATTCGGCCTCCCTTCAACCAAACTGTTCATGAATCGTATGAACACAATGAGGCCAGAATACTTCACAAGGGAAGCAGACCCCAGATCCATGGACAGATGCCTTATCGCATAGTTGGCCACAAGCCTTTCTTTATGCATTTCCACACTTTCCACTACTGGGGAAGGTGCTTCAGAAAATAAAACAAGAACAGGCAGTGGTAATACTGATAACTCCTCACTGGCTGAGGAGACCTTGGTTCTCAGACCTGATAGAGCAGAAATTGAAGCCCCTGCTCCAGCTTCTGTGGAGACTGGATGTACTCTCACAAACTTGGCTACTGAGAGGAAAGCACTAGAACATTTAGGTATGTCCACCAGAGTCATTAAGTATTACTTTCATCTAGGAGAATATCAGCACTAAAAGCGTACTACTTTGTCTGATCCAGATTCAAAAACTGGTGCCAAGAGCACCATTCAGATTCCAGAAATCAAAGAATTCCAGCGATACTGGACTTTCTCCAAGAAGGCATAGACAGAGGCTTTCAGCCCAGTACCATTGAGCATCAGGTGTCTGCCTTTAGTAGCATGCTGTTCACAGGATCCTTGGGATCCCTAGCAGACAGTTCACAGACAGCCAAATTCCCTTAAGCAGTCCGATTAGACAGACCACAGTGGTCAGGCCACTCTTCCCAAAATGGGAAGTTTTGAGGGCCCTGACAAGTCATCCTTTTGAGTCTCTGACTTCAGTTTCAGCTTTTTATTTATCCATTAAGACTTGTTTAGCTGTCATGTCTTCCAGACAAGGAGCCTTACTGCCTGTTCTATGAGAACAAGGTGGTGGTCTGGATACCTGAATCCTTTCTTCCCAAAGTAAATTCCTCCTTTCATGCCTCCCAAAAGGTTGTGCTTCCTTCATTCTGTCCAAAACTTTAACATCCAATTGAAACAGCGTGGCACACCTTCGATGTCAGAAGAGCACTGAAAAATCTATCTCAGGTGTGGAGAATCCATGAGGAGATGGGGCTCCCTATTTGTGTCTTTCCACCTGACATGCAGGGGACTTAAAACTTCCAAGTCCTCCATCACTAGGTGTACATTAGACCATATTGTGGAAACCTACAAATCATTAGAGATTTCTGTCCCAGAATGGATCAAGGCACACTCCACAAAATTGCTATCAACCTCCTGGGTGGAATGAGGGCTGCAGAATTGAAAATTTCTTACCAATAATTTCCTTTCTGATAGCAGCATCTTCCACAATTCTACCCACCCTTGATGGCTCATGAGTAAGGCTGTGTTTTTAGTCACGGGTATTTTTAGTAAAAGTCATGGATAGGTCATGGGCACTAAACAAAAATTCACGGCATGTGACATATCTATGACTTCTATATAACCCTGACTAAATCTTGTCGGGGGGAGGGGGACGCCCGGGAGTGCCGTGGGTGCTGGGGGGATGCCATGGGTGCTCAGGGAGGGGAGGGGGTCCAGGGACACCAAGGGGTGGGAGGCTGGCAGGTTCCCTACGTGGCTTCACGTCTGCCTGGAAATGGCGACATTCTCCCTCCCTCAGTTCCAGGAACTGTAGCCAATGGGAGCTGTGGGGGTGGTGCATGCAGGTAGAGGCAGCACGCAGAGCTGCCTGGCCATGTCTCCCCCTAGGAGCTGAGGGAGGTGGGATGTCGCCGCTCCCAGGGAGCCCTCTGAGGTAAGCACCGCCCAGAGCCCACCTCACCCCGTCTCATGCCCCTGCTTCTTCCCACAGCCAAACTCCTGCTGCTGGGGTGGGGGGACGTTGTGGCCCCATACTGCCCCAGCAGTGACAGGTGTGACTGGTCCAGGGGCTGCCTGAACTGCTCAGGCGGCCCCCGAGCCAGGCATACCGGCTGCTGCAGAGGTCACGGAAAGTCAGAATCCGTGACCTGCGTGATAAACTCGCAGCCTTACTCATGAGTCAAGGGTCAGCTATTAAGTAGAATCATTACCATATGATCCTCCTCTTGGTCTAATGTACATAGTGATTTCATTATCTCTGGAATATTTGTTAATGATATGCAAGTTCTACAGTCCAGGAATAACTCACCTGGAAGCAAGCAGGAGCAGAAAGGGTGTGGCCAAACTGTGCAACGCCAGAACTCTTGATCTGCCTCTGTGAGCTGCACCGAGAAGAGAGCAGCCCTGATCCCAGGTCTGTGGGAGACACTGCTAACAGAAAGGAAATTAGCCTTAAGAAGTTTTCCATTCATTTAAAAATTTGTATAGAACTTATTGTGCAAAGGTCAGCATGGTATAATACAGTTATCTTTTGTCTGCAACAACAATAAAAAAGCTGAGGAACAGAAATTAGTGTGCACAAATATGAAAACCATGTTTACATTCACCTGGTACCATTCTAAAAAAGGCTCAAAAAAAGAGGAGGAGGCATAATGACTTTTAAAATTTGCTTTTAAACTTACAATCACTTAAAACCAATTATGATATTAATAGAATCTTCGGAAAAAAGATCATGGCTCTTGACAGAGAAATGAAGAATGAGAAACAAAGAATTGTGTTAATGGAGTATACTGACTCTTGGACAAGCAGACATTTAGAAAAAAAGACTTATGAAGTAGAATTATTTTTTTAATAGTACCTTAATGGACAGCTTCAAGTCCATCTTATCCTAAAATCCATTTAGATGAACAGAAATCACCAGCCCAGATTTGCAGATCACAGTGTATCAGTGCAGTATATCAAAACCATTGACTAATGATTGTGGCTTGGTGTGATCATAGGTACAATAAATAGGGTCTTCTCTGTGGGTAAATTGGGAACTGTTGTATTAATTCCAATGGAATACATGGGCCCAAAAAGTCAAAGATGTTGACATGACCCTGAAACTGCTCAACATTGAACAGTTTGAAACAAGGTTTCGTAAATACAGCAACTTCACAAATGCTTGGTACCGTAGCTGTAGAGAAAAAACCTCCCTTGTTGGACAGTCTCTTAGATGGTGGTAACTCCTTTTGGGGGGAAAAGAGAAAAAATTGAGATGGTCTGTAGCTGGTGGTGGTGTTGCTGTTGCTAAAGCTGCTGTTTCGTAGAAGATAACAAGACACACATACCTCAGAGGGGAAAGAAAAGATCACCAGAAAAGCTGCGTTTTCGGTCTTTGCTGTTGACTCACTGCTGGAAAAACACATTTGCAAAATAAAAGGGGTAGAGAAGAAATGAAATAAGATGGGGAAGGGAAAGGGACACATGGGGAGGGGCAACAAAGTGTCACATCACAGGTGGTGGTTGGGATTTAGCCAAAGCCAGTGAAGGTAGTGATTTCATGTGGGTCCCTCTCTCTGGCCCAGTCTAGTCAGGACATCTCTTGGGATTAGGGTGATAAAAGCTTAGTGATGTTACAGTGGATCCCAAGAAATGGTGAGGGTGACAGCCATGATGGTAAGGCTCGCTGAAGCAGTTGTTAACAGACAGCTTCTTCAGCTAATTTTTCCCCCAATCTCTTTTTTTTTTTTTTTTTTTTTTTTTCTTTTCAAGAACCCCAGAAAAGAAGTGGTGGGCAAATAGCTCATCCTGTCACTATTTTGTTTACCTATTAGGCCTAATTTCCAACAAAACAATTTTGGTCAATTGATTTTCAGTTCCATGCTTGAATGTTTACCAGGTATAATATTAAACACAGTCCTTGAGTTAAATCAGGAGGCCTTTTTGTTTAAACTAATTCAATTCTGCTGTCTTCTTTGCACCTTTTCCTATCAACATTTATTCTTACAGGTTTTTGTGACATTTTATAAACTTTCACTCACTTTTTCCAGTTGAGCTCACAATTAGGGTAAATTTCTAGGACCAATTATTGTCTCATGAAACACTAACTTTTGTATTCAATTATGATTTTATTTATAAAGCACCTTGCTGCCAATGTTTTGTTTGCTATACAATAATTTACTAACCAGTGTGTGGGGGAAAAAAAGTATTTATAAGAACAAAATTTCTAATAACTTACCCTTTTTAAAATTAGACATCAAATCGGTTAGCTGGGGAATGGGTTAGAGAAAAGTTCTATGTGTAAGAAGAATAGATCAATGCTAAGAGATAAACCATAGTTTAAAACAGAATGAAAGAGTTTATATATATTACTGATCCCGAACACATCATTCTCCTAATGTAAGACATACATAAAATGGTTTCCTTTCACTTTTGCTGCATTGTCAAATAGGGTGCACTGTAGGAAGCTGTAGATGTCTAATGTTTCCTGTCTACTTTCACAGGAGGAGTATGACAAATATGGGATTCGAATTAGAGTTAAATTCCGTAGTAATACCCAACTGCATGAACTGACTCCCCACCATCAGAGTGGAGGTGAGAGAAGTGTTTCAACTATGCTGTACTTGATGGCTCTGCAGGAACTCAACAGATGTCCTTTCAGGGTTGTAGATGAAATAAATCAGGTAAGGTTGCTAGTGTGTGAAACAAGACTTTATTCCACAGGGGTTTATAGAGTGACCAGAAGAATTGTAAAAATATATATATATTTTTTTTTAAAGGGAATGGACCCAGTCAATGAGAGGAGAGTTTTTGAAATGGTTGTGAAGACTGCTTGTAAAGAGAGCACTTCTCAGTATTTCTTTATTACGCCGAAGGTGGGTAACTGAAAACTAAACGAAAAGATTCTCATGTGTGTCAGACTCTTTCTTTCAACTTCTTTGATAAAATAATAAATAGCATTGATATAGGTGCTATATAAATGTCTTCTGGTTTGTTCATTTGAGACTGACAGGGATGAAATAAAAATACTATAACAGCAGTTTGTCCCCTTTAAGGATAGTTGTGGCCTGGGCTCAACCAACTCTGTTCCAAGGCTTAGTCTCTTTAAGAACAGGCATTCTGGGACTTGTGGTTCCCTGGAACGATTGATTGTACAAACAAGCTGAAGTACACACTGCTGGGAACCAGGGGACCCTCAAGAGACAGGGATATGGAATAAAAGGCACACCTGTAGCCTAAACAAAGGAGAAAGATAAAGGTGAGACAGCTTTCCTTAACAGTCAGGCTGAGGGCTTAGGGAGAGCTTAGGAAGACCAGTGTTGCAGTCCTAGGAAGAAGGGCTGCAGAGAACCGTACACCTAGGGAGGAAAGACTATTCGAGCCTGAGCACCAGGCTGATGGCTTACTGAGCCTGAAAGGGGATTGTGCTGTACTCTCTGGAAGGAGGGCTGCGGAGAACTAATTGACCAGGGGAAATACTGTCTGTGCCTGAGGCAGCCAGCTGAATGATTTATATTTGTTATGACCCAAACAACAGCCCCAAGAAGGAACGTTATTTACAAGTTTTGTTTATCTGTAGTACTTTGGCAGAATTGTGTGGTTTGGTTTGAAAGGACCAATGGGGTTGCCTGCTCTAATGCAATCTCAGCAAGTACCCTACACTGTTTACTACAGGAAATTAGGAGAGATTATAGGGGTAAATTGCTTGATCGCCAGTTAAGGTATTAAGGTAACATTCCCCTGCATCCCAAAACTTAATTTATTTAGATGTTAGCAGGTGTGAACCAATTATCTGATTATATGGCAGTCAAGGGATCTACCAAAAACAACTTTTTTTCATTGGTCACCTAAACTTCAGTGTCTGGCATAATTTAAGATTGGTCTACACTTAAAACTTTGAATGACTTAACTACGATGCTCAGGGATGTGAAAAATCCACACCTCTGAGCACTGGTAGCTTTGATGGCCAAACCCCTGGTGTAGATGCAGCTGTGTTGACGGAATAATGCTTCTGTCGACCTGGCTACCATCACTCGGGGAGATGATATTCCCACAGCAATGGAAAACCCCTTCTGTTGCTATAGGCTGCATCTACGCTACAGGGTTATACTGGCGTAGCTATGGTGCTTTAGCTTTGCCACTGAAGTTTCTGTGGTGTAGACGTGGCCTTAGAGTGGAAAAATGATGGTGGTGTTTATTGTTATTTCTACTCTTTCATTTCCTTATCCCAGATTGTCCAGGTAGTGGGAGACGTGCATATGTGGTCAATGGCAAACAGTGGTAAAAGCACCATGTAAAAGTTCTTTTGGGGGAAACATTAATCTATTTTAACTAATACAGAAGTGATGCTTGGCATAAGAGGTGTTGCTTAGTGTGACTTTTTTTCTTCCCATTTTTCACAGCTCCTGCAAAATCTCACCTATGCTGAAAAAATGACAGTGTTGTTTGTCTACAATGGACCTTTTATGCTAGAACCAACCAAATGGAACTTAAAGGCATTCCGTAGGCGGCGGCGACAAGTTGAGCAAATGGATCAGTATTGAATTCCATGGAGCCTTTTGGAACTACTGGTCTGTGAGACTGTATTTATGAACACGAAGTGGTTGAATCTGAGAGGGAAATCTGCAGAGAACTGACAATGAAGAGCTGGGCTTCTGTTTTTAGAAACTTACCTTCAAATATATGTAGTATTTGCTTAGATCTGTTCTAGCCATCTGTTTCTTCAAAGAAAAACTCATTTTTACCTAGGACTGGCTGTCTGAATGGGAGGGCCCCTAGAAATCTGGATCTTTTGCACTTTGCTATATCCAACATACCAGATCAGGAAATTTTAGCTGTCAGTTTATTTCTTTCCAAATGAGTTACATCTGGTCAAATCCACTTTTGTTGTTCCAAAAGTTGTGATATGTATATTAGGTTAATACATTGCACAGTTAACTCAAAGATAAAGTTACAGTGGATAGCTTTGAAGTGGTTCTGTTGAAATGATAACTATGTGAGTGAGGCAGAAGGGATGTGATGTCACCAGATTCTCAACTAGTGTGGTGTGTTTGTGTGTGTGTAGCTTTGCATCACAGTTTTTTCTTGTGGTGGTTATTAAATATAAAATAGCATACATTATGTAACTAGACATTATAGTATTATGTATATTAACATTTCCCCTTAAACTCTATTTCAGTAGGGTGAAGTGGATTCCTAAGCCCAAACCCTTCACTCACACACACCACACCACTACCCTCCTCCCTGCCCCATGGACAAATATAAATTTTAGCTTTTTAAACAAAAATTTTACTTGGGCCAGTAGCCTTGTTTGTATTTGTCTCTATTCTGGAGAGCTATAAACAAGATAGCTTCTAGAAGTAACATCAGTCTAAATGTTGATTGTTTTTGGTGGTGGGTATGGAAATTATTCCTGTAGGTTTTTACATTTGAACTCAGCTATTCTTAACAGCTCTAGTTTCTTTGGAGTGGTTTTGTACTCCTAGTGAGGGATAGATCTCTGATGATATAGCTGTTTAAATTTGCTGGCTTCCTGGTGGGGTTTTGGCCATATCTGTTTAAGTATAAATGGTAACAGTTACTGCTGTCAATAGTAATTGTGAACTCTTGAAATAGAATGTGTCAGCTGGTTGAAATTCTTATCTGCCTAACTAATCTGTGATACAAAATTGTAAAAGGTACAGATTTGTATAAAATTGGACGACTGCTGTCAGTTACATTTTCCAACTAATCTTTAGGAAAATGAGCCAGTCCCAGATGCTCTCTGAAAATCTACAGCAATATGTAATATCTTTATTTTCACTACTGAAGGAGCCATTTGAAGGACGGTATTAGTTTGACTGGCATCCACTTAATTTGCTGTGTGACAAAAGTAACATTTTAGAAATTAAAGCCTTATTTAACAGGCCACTGTCAGGTCAAATTTAGCCCCAGATGTAGGTTTTGTGTTAAAAAGAGTGCTGCTTATTTTCTCCCATTCGTTTCAAACAGAAGTGGTGCGTGAGGACCCCTTCCACCTTCAGGTTTTGGGAGGGTCATTCCATGTTTTGTCACTAGGGGACTGGAAACAGTATTCCATAGATCTTTATCTCAAGCAGGGGTTCTCAAACTGGGAATCAGGACCCTTCAGGGGGTCGCGCGGTAATTACATGTGGGGTCACAAGATGTCAGCCTCCACCACAAACCCTGCTTTGTCTCCAGCATTTATAATGGTATTAAATATATTTAAAAGTATTTTTAATTTATAAGGAGGGTCACAGTCAGAGGCTTGCTATGTGAAAGGGGTCACCAGTACAAAAGTTTGAGAATCACTGTCTTACAGGGTGAGGAAGCAACATTGGAGAAACAGAAAAAGAATAAAACTCTCTCATAGATTGTTGTTAGCTGTGTAATTGTCCTCTAAACTCATGGCATAGGCATGGACAACACTAATGAAATATTTCAGAGTAACAGCCGTGTTAGTCTGTATTCGCAAAAAGAAAAGGAGTACTTGTGGCACCTTAGAGACTAACCAATTTATTTGAGCATGAGCTTTCGTGAGCTACAGCTCACTTCATCGGATGCATACCGTGGAAACTGCAGCAGACTTTATATATACACAGAGAATATGAAACAATACCTCCTCCCACCCCACTGTCCTGCTGGTAATAGCTTATCTAAAGTGATCATCAGGTGGGCCATTTCCAGCACAAATCCAGGTTTTCTCACCCTCCACCCCACCACACAAATTCACTCTCCTGCTGGTGCTAGCCCATCCAAAGTGACAACTCTTTACATAATCAAGTCGGGCTATTTCCTGCACAAATCCAGGTTTTCTCACATCCCCCCCACCCCCATACACACACAAACTCACTCTCCTGCTGGTAATAGCTCATCCAAACTGAAGAGTTGTCACTTTGGATGGGCTAGCACCAGCAGGAGAGTGAATTTGTGTGGTGGGGTGGAGGGTGAGAAAACCTGGATTTGTGCTGGAAATGGCCCACCTGATGATCACTTTAGATAAGCTATTACCAGCAGGACAGTGGGGTGGGAGGAGGTATTGTTTCATATTCTCTGTGTATATATAAAGTCTGCTGCAGTTTCCACGGTATGCATCCGATGAAGTGAGCTGTAGCTCACGAAAGCTCATGCTCAAATAAATTGGTTAGTCTCTAAGGTGCCACAAGTACTCCTTTTCTTTTTACTAATGAAATAAAATACTCAAAATTCTCCCAACTCTTAATTTGTAAAAGACAGTAAGACATCCCTTGGAGATCAAGGTGAAACACCGAACTGAGGAAGGGGAGAGAGTACTGCCGTTCTCCTACAAAGTACTCAGGCTGCAGTGTCACACCTTTACACCATTTGGAATTCATTTTTTAGTGTAAAAGCTCAACTGGGAGCTGTTTTAGATTCTCTATTTAATTTTTATTTTACATTTTAAAAAATTTAAATAAAAATACTGCTGGCTGAGAAACTGCTCCTGAGAGGGCAACTAGGCTTCTGGGAATGGGCTGAGGGGGAGAAACAACCTGTCCCTGTTTTGGGGAGGTAAAATGGGATGCTGTGTTCCCAGCACCTCCTCTGCAGCCCCAAAATGCTGGGCCTGGCACCTTCTGTGTAAAAGTGTAGCATTCAGAGTTGCAGCAGCTCTTGCCTCTCCCATGCTTCATCAGCTCAGCAGTGGGCTTGCTGGCTGGCTGTGTGTCAGGTACTAAAGCTGGTCGGGAATTTTCCATCAAAATATTTTTTCAATGGAAAATGCACATTTCTGCAAAATCAAAGATTTTTGGCTAGATGCTTGTTTCCCTGATGAAAAATCAAAATGCAGTATTTCTCCATTTGGGTCAGTCAGCTGAATCCAAATTGAAATAATTAGTTTTGGGTCAGTTCCATATTCATCTGTCTGCATCAGCTGGTGCAGTGCCTCATCGGCATTGTAGTGTGGGTGCCTCAGGCTCCCATTCTTCTGCATAGGCTAGGCAGGGAGCACGGCCCATCTGCGATGATGCATCATGGACTCTCCATAGGTTGAACTGACACACTGTATCATGGGAGTCGTAGGGTCAGAGTGCATCACGTGAAATGTACGGCAAGGGAGCCCAGCCATAGAGGAAAATGGGAACACGGGGCACTATGGCAGCTCATGGGGACGTAGATTAATGCTGGACTGAGCCAAAATTAAATCTGTCAGTTTGGGAATGTCTAAACGCAACTTCAGTTTGAAAACTCAGAATTTTCTATCCACAAAAGAATTTGACGTTTCAGATTTGGAACAAAAACAAATTTCAAAATATTGGAATTTTCTGCAAAATTCTGACTTTCAAAAAGCTCTGCCTGGTATGCTGCAAGGGGACTTGCATTGACTGCCATGCACCTCACGTGACACTCACACATACACATTCCCACAGTCCAGGCTAAGGGCTTGTCTGTGTATGGAGTTATTCAGGAATAGCCAGTGCACTTTAAATACACACCTTACTTTAATATGAATTAACTTTCAAATGTAGACAAACTCTAAATGTCATGCAACTTCAGTTCAAGACCTCCAGAAGCTTCTGTGGTGCCTTTTGGACCTGAGCCAAGCAAGGAGCAGCCAAGAGGAGTAGGCCGGCAGTGGTGGCAGCAGGAAGTAGCAACAGTAGGGACAGAAGGTAAGATGGGGACAATCCTGGCCCAGGCTTCCCTCCACAGCAACCTTCCAATCCCACCCGCATCAAGTCCCAGCTTTCCATCAGCCCTTAGCCAGCATCTACTCTCAGATGTTCCCCAGAGCCACCCCATCTTTCCACACCTCACAAACTCAGCAGTTCCCAGCTTCTGTCCTCTCTGACACGGCCTGTACATTCCACTTCTCTTAACTACTGCCACCTTCCACCCCGCCCCCCACAACCTCCACCCACTCAGCCCCTTCAACAATCCCCAGCCACTTCATCTTCCACCCACCTATTCCCCATACACTCTTCAGCATCCACCTAAATGCCAAGTTTCTGCAGCATGATGACTTACGCCCACCATTGCATGGGGCAGGTTGTATTCACCTTAAACTGAAGTTTATGGTCTTATACATATTACATAATAGGGTTTTTCATACTTGCAAATCATTTCCATAAATTGTTATCCATGTAGCTGCACAATACTTGGCAGGTATGGCATATTGCTCATTTGTGAGAGGACGGAGATCTGCCAAACCTAAGACTCTCCTATGGGGCCTGGAGAAAATTGGAGGGAGACATGAGATAAGTTTTGCTGGGGGTGTAAAAAGCATAGGATTGGTTTATCTGGAGGTGAACATGAGGGTGGTCACAGAAGATGGAAAGGGGTCTTGGGAAAGAACAGGATGAGATTGAGGTAACAGGGACACAGTGAGCACAAAGGAAGCCCCAAGGAATAGATGATGTAACATAGAAGTGTGAAGGAAAGGGAGCCAGGATGGGGTTAGAGACCGGAATGAGTGAAATTAAAAGGGGAAGAGAAAGAAGGTCAGAAAATTGGGGAGGGAGCATGGAAAAGAAAACGGGCTGTCTGTAGGGAAAAGCAGTCTGGGAAATTAGATAATGAGGGAAAGAGAGAGAAATGGGAAGAACAAAAAACGAGAAACACTATGATGTTTCTTTCAATTATTTAACAAACATTTGTGGCAAAATATTCTATCACATCATGGGGTGAGGGTCAAAGGGACTTTGGGAGACCTGATCGTGTGTGAGAGGTGGGCATGAGAGTCTAGTGTTCCCAACAGGAAAAAAAAGTATATGGAGAAATTTTCCATTTCCCCACCTCCGTCTTCTGGAAGGAGAAAACATTATAGCAATCCCAGAAACCAGCTAGAGGGTCTAAGAGCAAACTGATTAGTAGGTAAGAAAATACCCTCCATCCTCCTCTAACAATTTAACAGTTTTATTTAAAAAGCTTTGGATTGTGAACACTAATATTAGAGTTTTTGTGCTTGTTTCCGTCTCCATCAGCACTAGTTTACCTTAACCTTGGGTATCACACAGTCTCTATCACAGACAAGATGGCTGTGAGAGGCAGGAAGACTGAGCAATGCCAAATGTATTTGTAACTAAAATGATAGGCTCCATTGCACAGGGTACTCACAAAAAGTGATTCCTTCCGGGCTTATGAACAGTGATTTGACAGGATTGAGACAATGTGGTGGAGTTTTCTTTGAACAGACTAATCTAATATGCGGTAAATTTTTTAGATTTTCCTAACAGTTTTTTAAAAGGATAGAAAGAGTAACAGATGCAGGTGGATAGGGTTCTTTGGCCCATTTTCTCTCCCGTTTCCTAATGTTAGCTCCCACTTTGCAAAGAAAGTTAATTTTTCTTACCACGTCCATTACATTAAATACCCCAGAGGAAAAGTATAATTAGAAATAAATATGAAGAAGCTAAATTTTGGGCCAAATCTTCAACTGGTATAAATTAGCATAGTTCCATTTAAGATAACCTACATCATCTGAGGATCTGGCAAATTACCTTTTAAATGTTAGTACTATACATACCCTTCTGTTTCAGTTCATAACAAGAAAGGTGTCAAACCAAATCTCCATCTCCAAGCATCCTGAGTTTTGAAAAGTTTGGATCCTGCTCTGAACTTTGGAATTTGGGTCCATTCTGGAGAGAAGTCGGTCAGTTTACAGGCTAAGTATGTTTTGTTTGCTTTTCAGACAAAAGAAACTATAGTTTCCCTTCTCCATCATTCATGGATACTCATTTGTTAATTCTGAGGTGTG